AAAACAGAGAGACCAACTAAGAGAGAGCTCCTCCTTTATCATGTGTACCACACAATTACTCAATAAGATATTCTATTTATTGTGCCGATACTTGCCCATGCTTTCTCTACTTATCCACAATATTCACATGTCTCCTCAAAATCCAACAATCGCCAACGAAAGACATTACTAAAAAGCAAAATGAGTGACAACAGAGCAAGCTGGTTGGCAAGCCAATTCCTTTCTACGTGGACTTCATTTGACTTGCCACAAACGTGCATTATATGAGTGAATATCCAACATTATTGGAATTGTGAAAGATGATACCCTGTCGATGCTTTTAAATTACGCGCTAAGCATTATTTGAGAATTTAGGATTCTTGTTTTTTTACTTTTGGCTCAGTAAACTGTTATTGAGAAATAATGGCTACCCTTATTAGTTTTAGCTGTTTAAAGATGCAGCAAGAGCAGCCTTACCTTGCATCTCTGAACAAGACGATGATCGAGTTTCCACTTGCTTTTTCATGGATGCTTATCACTTTCCTTTATCATTTCCATAGGATCATGCTGATCAGTGCCTTTAGGTATGCTTTCTGGAGTATTCAGATCATCCTCAATGATAATGTCGGCAACGTGAACATGAGTCCTTGGCTACGTGCAAATTATTCCCAAATCCAAATATGTCGTCCTCCACTATAAAATTAGCAGTAGCAATGCTGAAGCAATTATCATTGTTATTAGAGAAGTTGTTATCTTTTTTCCCATTCATGCCGTAGCCCATATGTATGTTATTATTCTCCTCAATGGTTGTTGTGCTACTAGCCAGTGGGGGAAACAGAAAACTCACTTCATAAAAGCCTCACTTTTGCATGCCCAAATTCCAATAACTCGTATAATCTCCCATATTGGCTGGTGCAATGCTCAAGGGGAAGGCGAAACATACGACTCCTTCGCATGTGTCACAGCGGTTGTTGAGTATAAGGAACGGATCAAAATGGTTTGGTGTGGATATATTGTCCATTGGTGGGGGAGATGAGTCCATACATATAGCTAAGACATCATATCATGCTTGAAAATTAGGCATAATCCTTGTAGCTATGTCTCGTGGATTAGATAAATCGATGTCATTTGGCGAGGATGTAGCAGAGTTCATCTTTAATCTCTTCTTCATAGTAGAGTTCCAAAAATACTTTTATCTGATTCTTCTAGTTTTTCGACTTTGTCTTCTCTTCACCTCCAGCAATTGACTAATCTATTACTTAACCTCAAACCATGATGACGACACAACGCCCGGTGACAAGGCAATCAAGATTTTTCCCTTGGCAAGATTTTCATATACAAAGTCAGTGGCTCGATCTAAAAGGATATCCTAAAACCTCTATGCATATGTACAAACCTCTCAATGGGTTCAACAATTATCCTCCAATATCAAAAATTCAATCCATAATCATTCTTACAAACCATAATACATTTTATAAACCAAAACATATAACATTTTCACAACTCATCCCATATGCTAGAAATACCTTCTTCAAAGCATTTCTCATATCATTCAGAAATCATTTCATAAACTAGTTTGTAACATAATACATATATATTTCTTCACAATACCTTGCATATATAATTAAGGAACAGAAAATGCTCGATTCGGCTTTTTATGCTACAACAATGCCATTTCGTAACTCATGCCGTATATCATTCATATTGCTTGCGAAATATGAATTTACAAACTCGAAGAAAAGATAGCACTACTTACTTGGAAAATCCTAAGATCAAATAACATAATTTAATGAGTCGACGATCTCATAATCCTAACAATTAAACAAGATTCGATATCAAAACCAATAAAATATTAGAACAATTACGAATCAGCTCAACTACATTTCATCCAAAGCGATTATCCAATTCTAAATGCTATACGGAACTCGCAACGCAAAACTCTAAAATTTCGCTCCGACAAAACCGTTGCTTCAAATCAACTCCCATCAAATTCCATGGCTTCACAACATAATCTATCATTTTTATGAAATCTCATAGCTCAACAATTCAAAAATCTGATTTTGCGGCTCGATTTTCATAAAATTTCTATTTCAAGCCATAATTCTGAAAACTATTCCAATTGGACGAAAGATGGGCGAGCACTTACCAGATATTACGATACTTAGTTGATCCGACTTGATGAAATCTTTGTGGTGTGCACTCGAAACTCCTCCTTCACTGTTTTCTTCTTCTTTCTTTTTTTCTGTCTCTTTTCTGTCCCTTCTTTTGCGCAAGCCCCCGATCTACCTAAAGCTAAAGCGTCCACTGTAACTTCTTTTACTTTTCAACCTTTTTCATTTTTTTTTCTTTTTTGACTTTTCAAAAGCCATATTTTACATCATCAGTGACAGGCCGTCAAGTTTTGTAAACTACATAAATTTTTTAACTTGGACTGAGTGATCTCTGTCGAACTGACACTAGTTACGTTTTTTTCAGGAAGATTCCCATTCATAAATACTAGTCTGTCTTCTCTCCTCCACAACTCACACGTCCCTGTTTTCTCTCCTCCGTAGAATTATTAACTCTCTTGGCCAAGTCACGTTTTCCGGTTAACCCTGTAGAATTCAAAAAATGAAAAGAAGTATTTTAAGTTCTGCAAAATTGCAAAAAGAAATCGAATAAGGGTATGCATAGCAACGTTTCTGTTCCCAGAAATAATTTTTAATCAGAAATAATTTTTTTTATTTCTTTTTCTTGAAACAGTTTCTGAGCAAAAAATAGCGTTTAGTAATTGCACAAAATTTCTATTCCTGAAATCTAAAAAAGAATAGAAACGCGTTTAGGACGCGAATGATTCATTTCTATTCCATGGACGAGTTTCTCCCTTCTGGGCCACCGGCGGAGGACGGCGGGTGGCAGTGGGGGGCGGAGGACGGTGGTCGGCGGTGGGAGACGGTGGAGCACGGCGGGAGGCGGTGGAGCACGGCGGTCAGCGGCGGAGCACAGTGGCGTCGGGCGGCGGTGACTGCAGCGGGGGGCGGCGGCGGGAGGTGGTTGGCGGCGGAGGGTGGCCATCGTCGGTTGATGGAGCACGGCGGCTGGTGGCGAAGGATGGCGGGTGACCGCCGGCGTCGGGTGGCTAGGAGTGGGAGGTGGCCGGCGGCCGAGGGCAGCCAGCACCGGGTGGTGCCCGGCGTCGGGCGGTGGAGCACAATGGCCGGCGGCGGAGGATGGCGACTGGTGGTGGGTGGCCGCCGCGCGGCGGAGGACGGCGGCCGGTGGTGGGTGGCCGCCGCCGGTGGAGGACGGCGGCCGGTGGTGGGTGGCAGCCGACAGCAGAGGACGGCGACCGGTGGTGGGTGATCGCCGGCATTGGGTGGTTGGCAGGGGGAGGCGGCCAGCGCCGGGTGGCGGCCGGCGTCGGGCGATGGAGCACGGCGGCCAGCGGTGGAGGACGACGGCTGGTGGCGGGTGGTGACAAGCGTCCAGCGGTGGAGGACAGTGGTCGACGACAAGAGGCGGCCGAGAGGCGGCTAGCGGGCGGGAGGCGGCCGGCAGGCGTTGGCCGACAAGCGGCTGCAGAAGGCGGTCAGTAGGTGGCAGCGAAGGACGGTGAGAGGCGGCGGTGGGTGGATTGTGGCCAATGGATTGTTTCTTGTTTTTGGAGGATTCTAGAAAAAAAAATCGTTTCTTTTTTCTTGTTCCAGAAACAAGAAGCAGATTTTTTTTGCTTCTTGTTTCTGTTTCAAATCTATTTCAGGAACACTTTTTTGTTCCAGAAACAAAAAAATAGATTTTTTTTACTAAACGGATTTCCGTTCTTTTTCTGTTTCGGGGAACAAAAGAACATAAAAACAAAGAAATAGAAACGTTACTAAACAGACCCTAAGGGTCTAAGCTCTTGAAAAGTCACATGAAAAGTCACTCAATTAAGGGAAATTTCAAATAAGGATCTAAGCTAGCTGGCCGGTCAAATTTTAGCCGGCTGGTGAGCATTGGATTTTTCCGGCTACCGGAACATTTTTTGTCCAAAATAAAATCCGAATAAAGATTACAAAATAAAAACTTAAAAAGCCAAAAAAAAAAAAACCCTCGATGAGAAAGTGGTTGTGGTCGTCGCTTCGACGGCGAGGCGGCCCAGCAGGAGAGAAACCGGCAAGAACCCACCGCCATTGCAACAACCAAGAGAGCGCCAAGGCACGGCTGACGGAGGAGCGAACCGGGAATCTAGAGGCGTTGCTAGTGCACAAAGCCGAAACGCAAGGCGAAAAGGTGAGATTTTTATGTTTCCGACTTCAATAGCCGAACCAGGGAAAAGATCAATGAGGTGAGGTCATTCTTAAAGCCATACGTGAGGACGCTACGTAAGAATGGCGAACATAAATTTTTCTTTGCATCAAGTATCTCCCCGAAGCTCTTGAATATAGTTGTCTGTGCTGGTTTGTTCCATGGAATCGTTATCATCAGCTCATTTTGTTGCGACTCCAGGGTCTGTGTTTGCAATCTACGCCATGGTAGTTGAGAAATGGCACTGGGTGGAACGGAATGATAGCGTTGAGCTCTGAGCAGAATGAGGATGGTAAAACGGTGTTAGCTCGCGAGCGAGCCGATGAAGAAAAAGAAAGGTGGAGGCTGCGACCGTCGGTGTGGGTCCGTTGAGCCCGCCGGCAAAATCGGTGGTGGCATGCACCCCGACCGTATGCAATCTCTATTCCTCGAGTGGTTTGAATTTCTTTTTGTTTTTGGATTTTTTAGCTTTTCTTTTTTTTTTTTTCAATCTTTATCCAATTTTCGTTATGGACAAAAATGCCCCATTCTGGCTGCAGGAAAAACAATGCTAGCTCGCCCTTATCCAAGACTAACTTGGGTATTTAGACTCTTATTTAAAACAAAATTCATGTTAAATTCTTGTCGAGAAAATCAAGCTCCGTTTTCAGTTTTTGTTTGGAATTTTCCCCCCAATTATTTGTATCCTTGCTTTGCTTGCCTCCTCATCCATTGGGGCAGTACTCCGTCCGCACGATCCACGCGCTCGTGAAGCACGCTTGGTGCTTGATGTAATTATTTCTCATCCGATTTGCTCGGACGACTCGCACCGAATCGCGGCAACGTCGCCAACAGCAGTTCCCAGGGCGAGCGCCCCCCGCAAAGATGCAGTCCACAGCCGTACTACGCGCGTCCTGTAATGGAAGCAGCGCCTTCGATCGCCACCACCCCCAGTCCACTCCCACAATACGGGATCCATCAAGAGCTGATCCGATACTCAGACCCGGCTTCAAATTCCGCACCTTCCCATCATCAAAATCGCCCTCTTCTCGCCACTCGATCGCTATATCTCGATGCCTATTGCCATCGAAATCGCGGGAATGCCCTCCTTTTGTCAATTCGACTCCGAAAGTGGGAACTAGGGTCTGGCCACTTCGCTGCGGAGTTTCGACGAACACCTTCAATGCGGGCGAGGGTAGGAGCTTCCGAGACTGGATTGAGCTGGTGGGTGAGGCGATATCGACGGCATTCCCCGTATGGGTGGCGCTAGGGTGCCTGTTGGGGCTCGCGAAGCCGAGTTGCTACGACTGGGTCCAGCCCAAGTGGACCGTTCTTGGGATTGCGGTGACCATGCTTGGGATGGGGATGACCCTCAGCTTCGATGATCTTCGTGGCGCGTTGGCCATGCCCAAGGAGTTGGTCTCTGGCCTTGTGCTCCAGTACTCGGTTCGTTCTGCTCTTACTCCTAGTCAAGCTCGGAAATTTCATTTGATTGGTTTTACCGACTGCTAATGATGAAGTCGTGGACCACCCGCCTGGGTGGCGCTGCTGGAAAGGCACTCTTTCTCTCTTAAAAGGTTGAGTGTTCGAATCCCGGACGCCGCAGGGTGACTTAACCGGTGCATGTGTGTGGTGGCTAGCACGTGTCGCCTCCAGGGTTTACCTCCGGCTGTCGGCCGTGCGGATTTCCTGGGTTACCAAAAAAAAAATAAAAAATGATGAAGTCGTGGTGTTTCGCTGACGATTGAAACGTTATGTACAAAGCGATTTGAAGTACAGTAAAGAAAACAGTAGGATGGTGGATTTGTGTTAGTGGTCTAGCACTTGACTTTGAAGACGACCAGTCACCTTTGTGTGTTTACTCTGAAGTGCATAGGCACATAATATGCGTTGATCATGATGCAACGGCGTATCTGTGCTGCTTACAGGAGTAGGATAGGAAGACATGTTCATACTCAATTTTTTTTTTACGAACACTCGCTGTACCTACACTTTGGTTACATACCTAGGTTTCCCTAGTTTTCTTTCTCATTATGAACTCTTCTTGTCTGTAGCAGCCGATTAGAGACTCCTCATTGTGAGCGTGTGCTCATTTTCTACCTGTTTACTTAGACATGTTCGGTCCAGAATAATGCATTGCTTGTGGCAGGTGATGCCGATCTCTGGATTTCTTATTAGCAAGCTTTTGAATCTGCCATCACATTATGCGGCCGGATTAATATTGGTTGGCTGTTGCCCTGGTGGTATGTGCATTTTTTCTTATCCTCATACTGCTTTACTACACAATCCTTCTCTCTCTCTCTCTCTCTCAGCACATTCTGAATTTATTAATTGCAGGGACAGCAAGTAATATAGTCACTTATATTGCACGGTAAGTGAATTCCGGAAGACAGTATCTTGAGAAGCATTTGAGCTGCTGTTTAAATGCTTCTATCAAAGTATGATGGGTGTTTTGTGATCTAGGGGAAATGTTGCTCTTTCAGTGTTGATGACGGCAGCAAGCACTATATCAGCTGTGGTTGGTAAACAGAAATCGATTTCTCATGTCTTCCTCCTTGACTGTAGGATCATTCAGCTCATTATTTATAAAATACATTTAATTTAACATAAAATATCATAGATGGGAATCTCTTTTACCAAGGTAGGTCATCCAGGACAAATTAATTCTATGTTACGACGGGAATGAAGTGCATGTACCGTTAACTCCACATGAGGCACTCTGGCTCCATAAGCTTCACATAGAGTGTAATTACCCATCATTTTCCTTGTCCTCTGATGTTGCAGATAATGACTCCATTTCTGACCGCAAAACTTGCTGGACAGTATGTTGCGGTTGATGCAGCTGGACTCCTGCTTTCAACTCTTCAGGTTACTTCTCTCGCTCTCAACCTTTGTATTTGCATGGTTATGATACCGCTCTCTAGCACTCGCATAAAACTAGGAAATGCAGGTAGTCCTTCTTCCTGTCCTGGCTGGTGCATTTCTTAACCAGTATTTCCAGAGTTTGGTTAAGTTAGTTTCCCCCTTGATGCCACCTATTGCTGTGGCAACTGTGGCTGTATTATGTGGAAATGCAATTGCACAGAGCGCTTCGGCGATACTCGTGTCGGGCCGACAAGTTCTGCTTGCAGCGTCTCTTCTTCATGTATCTGGATTTTTCTTTGGCTATATACTCTCTAGAATGCTTCGGCTGGATGTCGCATCAGCAAGGACTATCTCGATCGAGGTGGGCATGCAGGTATACCATCTCATTCTCGAAGCTTAATATAAAAGCTAGAGCACTCCACTTGCATTGCCTTCCATTCTAGTATGCCTGGTTGTACCTGTATCCTAGACCTTCCAGTATATAATCTTTTATATGCATTTGGCTTTCCGATTCTAAAGGATCAATTTCTCCTAGAGTACGTGCTTGAATATGACTACAAATATTTATCGAACTGTTTTGTTTTGTTTTGTTTTGTTTTATCCTTTTCTTTTTTCAGAACTCGGTGCTGGGAGTAGTTCTGGCCACTCAACATTTTGGGAACCCGCTGACGGCAGTGCCATGTGCAGTCTCAAGTGTATGTCATTCGATTTTCGGTAGCGTCTTGGCAGGAATCTGGAGACGCACTTTGCCCTCTCAAAAGCTCGAGTAGAAGTTTATTGCTTTAATGTCTGTAGACCTTTATTCTAGACTTTCAGCTTCTCTTCTCCAGTGCTGGCGTTGAGACCAAATGTTTGGGAATTGGGATGCGATCAGATTTAGCTCTTGTGGCATAATGGGTAAAAGATATTGCATAGAAGCATGCTCATTAGTCAACTAGAACGCAGAAAAAAATGTATGGGAAGTGCAAATGTCGCGAATTACTCTTTCTGAAGATTTGCCTTGCGTCAGTTCAAACACATCGCCAACTATGCTTTGTGATGATCAAGTGATAGAAGGAGATAACAACTTCTAGGGTGAAGTAGTTACAGGGAGCAAAATTGAAGATGCTTAAGCGATCCGATCAAGGAGACGTATAGTCTTTCCAGACTAGATTGATCTTGGCGCTTCCTACACCGAAAGGAGCCCGTAGTCACAGGTTACACACTTCCTGTCACCTTTCTCACGAAGATGCCCGGTTTCATTTCCAGGTTGCTTTCTGCACATAATCAGATTCGGATGATGCTTGGCCATGTTCCTAACTTGCTGTCTACTAATGTGGCTTAGCTCCAAATTTATCTTTCAATCAAGCTGTAGATACAATAGCAACGAAAAGATGAAGTGGTGCCTCCCTCTTTACTAAACAACCAATGGTAAGTTAGGCAATTAACAACAGAACTGAATAAATTGGAAGGAAAATGTATTGAATATTGAAAGTGTTTGTGAAGTTGAAGATTGTGAAGAGTTTTCTCCCTATTTTACTCCAAGTCATCATCCAACCATAGCTTAGAGGTTCGTGAAGCAGAGTCTTGATGTTTTGCAGAGGGGAATGAACCTTTTAACAAGCAACAAACGACTAATTACTAGGAGCTATGCTTGATCACTTCACAGTTTTTGATGTTTTTTTTAAGATAATTATACTTCTCTCGCCAAGGTAGTACATCGATGAATGCCCAGTAGAGCTTAAGTAAATTTGTGGAGAGAACTTTTCACTATTTACACACACCACAAAAAAAATTGCAAATCATTTATCATCTTCAAATCATATAGATCAAACTCATCCGAACCATTAATCATTGGATGCTCGTACACGATCGACGGTTCAAATGCACTCGATTTACGGCACTATGTTATCGACCCAAACCAAACCAGCAAAAAGAAAATCAATAAAATATTGACGATCGACAGGGTTCAGGACAAGTTCATGACCCGCGCCTAATTTGGGATTTAGCAAATCAGCTTTCGAAATTTCACCGCGTTGGCCCGGCCGGCTGCAAATGCGAAATTTTCCGCGCAAGTTTCAGCTCCTCCCGCCGAATTCGAAACCGAAATACAAAACGAAAGAACGAAAGAGAAGGAAAAGGAGGGAGCTCTGGTTGTTCTCTTCCTCTGTCTGTCTTCCTCTCTCTGTTCCCGCCTTCCCCATTTTCGCTCCCCCTTCAAAACTCAAAACCCTCCAAAGCTCAACTCCCTTCCAGCTTCCATCTCTCTCTCTCTCTCTCAATTTGTCAAGACGAAGGAGGAGGAACAGCTAAAGCTGCTGCTGCTGCTGCTGCTTCCGTTTGTGAGCCGAGAGCGATGAACTACCAGGGCTTGCCTCCTCTGAAACGGTTCACTCTCCTGCGACAGAGGCAGAACCAAGAGAACGCGAACCCTGCATCGGACTCTCTCCCGCTTCCCGCGAAGAAACGCAAGGAGTCTCGCCACCTGGCTCCGCTTTCTCCGGATCTCGCGGGCCGCGCCACCACCTACTGCTTGCCCACGAAGAAGAGGGTGTGGGCTCTGGACCCTGATCTGAAGCCCCTTTTGCCTCTCGACCTCAATGCCGAGTACAAGCCTTGTTCTCTCGAAGTCGGGTCCGAAGCAGAGAAGGAGAGAGCTTCCCAAGCCAAGAAAATCTGTGAAGAGGATGGGGAAGAGGGACAGCCTTCGGTTTTGGATCCTAGCGCTCATGAAGCAGTGGCAATCGGCGACCCAGAAGATCAAGTGGAGACAAACGTGGAAGAAGAAGAGAGAGATGGTAGTGGCAACGAGGAGGAGGAGGACGGGATCGTCTGTGCTATTTGTCAAAGTACTGACGGAGACCCGGAAGACCCGATCGTGTTCTGCGACGGCTGCGATCTGATGGCGCACACCACTTGCTATGGGAATCCTCTCGCGAAGGGTGTTCCGGAAGGCGACTGGTTCTGCAATCAATGCTTGGTTTCTAATGCCTCTAAAAACAGAGTTGAGTCCTTCTCTTGTTGTTTGTGTCCAAACAGTGGAGGTGCTTTGAAGTCCACCGTTGACGGCTCGTGGGCTCATGTTGTTTGCGCACTGCTTGTCCCTGAGGTCTTCTTCGAGGACCCAGAAGGGAGAGATTCGATCAACTGTTCTAAGGTTCCGAAGAAGAGGTGGGAGAAGAAGTGCTATGTTTGCCAAGACACGAACGGCTGTGCCGTTGATTGCTCCGAGCCTAAATGCCCTTTGGCTTTTCATGTCACTTGTGGGTTGAGTCAGGATCTTTGCATTGAGTACCGCGAAGGGAAAAGGAATGCTGCCATCGTTGCTGGTTTTTGCAAGAACCACACCGAATTGTGGAAAAAGGTACAATTTCTCTTTTGTTTCCCCTAAAGTTGTCTGATTTGTCTACACGCGAGGAGGATGTCCAAATTCAAGGAACCTAATTCCTCGAATTGTTTGTATTGGATGTTGTAATTTCTCGTGGATGAGTTCACAAGTCCTGTTGCTTTATTGTTTTCTGCAGCAAGAACGGACAGGAAAGTTCAAGATTGTAGCCAGGGAAGAGCAGCGGTAGCCGGACCTGGAGCGGTCAACTTTGATGTTGTGGCAACATTGATAGTCTTGCTTTGCGAATTGGCGAAATGAGATTTTCAGTACTGGAAAAGTTAGTTTGTAGTTTTGTAGGTTCTGTTATGTGTTTGAATCCCTAATCTCAGTAGTCTAATGCTTTTTTTTTTTGGTCAGAAGTCTAATGCTTAAATAACTCGTAAATGAGTGTAATCCTTTGCTCAGTGTTTCTTGTTGTCAAAGCTAATTTGAATGAAATTTCTTTCTTCTGCAATCACCTTACACTTTAGATGCATTTATCCCACGACAGTATGTATTCAAATTCTGTATATGCTTTTTTTCATTTCTCAGCAACCCATGATTTTGATTATGAGGTAGTCATTCTATATATATTGACAATGAGTCGGTACTCATTTTATATGCCGACACCTGACTGAAAAGTTGAAGTCATGTTGCGCTCTTGAATGAGCCCTATCATCTAAAAGCAATCGAGTCGGTACTCATTTTATATGACGACACCTGACTGAAAAGCTGAAGTCATGTTGCACTCCTGGATGAGTGTTATCATCTAAAAGTAATCTTGAGTCAAGTTCTACTAGAATAAGCATTAAGCAGGATATAAAATGCAACCAGTTCTTGATTAGAAGCAGGGGATACGCCCTTCTGGTGACAAATATGGTCTCCGTTCAATGACGATTCTTTTACTGACAAACCACTTATGAGCTGCTTGCAATGCGATTTCTTTATGATCAAGTTCAGTGTTCCGCGAGGCATCTCGTTTGATAATAAGTAACCTGTTTGTGCTCGAGGCTTTGGCCAAGATGCTCACCATGAAGAGTTCCGGATAAGAGGATCCCCTATTTAATAGTACCAAATTAGAATTACCCGAAAATCTTTTGGAGGCGTATTGACATCTTTGTTCTTTGCTGTTGATTGTAGACGTATCATCAAGTTAATCCAATCGTACGAAAAAAAAGAAAGACGCTTGACGGTGTGACAATGTGCAGAGACCAACGAAAGCTACCAGTCTTCTGTCTCTCCGTCATTGGCCCTATGTCAACGTCAATCTCACTCGGTCACATAAATTTTTCTCTCGAAAAGCAAAACAGTGACACTTTGAATAATTTGCATTCCTTTTTCGCAAGGATTGTGCAATGATGCTTATCCGTAGGTTTTCCTTTTCTCTTGCTTTGCTGCTTTTGAAAGATCTTGGACCAAGAAAATCCTCGACCACGTCTGTGAACACGCCCCCTTAAGCAGATATTGTCAGATCTTTGCTTAATTGTGAATGCGGAAGATGCTCAGTACGGAAAAAAAAAAGCAAAAGTCATGTTCTCACTTTTGGTCTTGTCCATCTCTTGACAGTCATTATGCTATAATTGGTCAACGAAAATAGTGCATTTTGTCTCCTCTTTTTGAACGCCTTTCGTTAAACTCACCACACAACACCCGAATACCTGCTCACTGATCAATCAGTGTCCAGGGTTTCAGTCAAAGAGGTCCATGAGGTACAGTCAAGCGTAAAGCTTAGACCACAGTGTAAGTTCATTTGTGTAGTAATGAGTTGGGCAGAATTCGACGTCGCGGAATGGTAAAGCAGTGGTTTTAGATTGTGAAGAATATGAAAGGAACATAGAGCCAGAAAAGCGGCTAACTCTGCCAGTTAAATTCTTGCAGATCCCGATTTTGTTGAATTTGCTAGCAGACATTTCGCAGGCAAACTATGAGCATTCTTTTATTTACATCGTCCTTGAATTGAATGAGGAAAAGAAAGACGTTGACAGACTTCATCGTAGCCGAGGCCTTTTCATCTTCTGTTTTGGGAAGGAATTGCCGATGGGATTAGGCCCTGAATGCACTTCATGCAACATTTTCCTCTGAACTTGATCATCATCATCATCAATATCATCATCACTGTTGTTGTTGGTGTTATCTATGACAGATGTCTGCATTGATTGAGGAATCAACTTGCGATGAAAGAAACCTTCTTGGAATTGATTTGAAAGAGGTCTACTTGCTTCAACCCGAGACTCCATCAACAAGTCTTCAGCAGTCTCTGCATCTGATCGGCAGATATATTCATCTTGCAGATAACTACTGTCTACAATGGGCTTGCACACGCACACGACTGTACACAAATACATGCACAGAGAGAGAGAGAGAGAGAGAGAGAGTACCTGGAAAGGTTGCTTCGGCAAGGCTGGAGTGGAGGAAGAAACAGGAGATACAAAAGATGATAAGAAGAGAAGAAAGTTTCATGACTCGAGTTTCATGAGGAAGAGACGGTGCAAGTTCTGATAGAGATTATGTTAAGGAGCGGTGAGGTTTGTGTAAAAAGAGAGTGATTACTGGAGGAGGAGATCCAAGTGACACAGGTCATATTGTTTGCGGGAGCTGGCAACAAAAGGAGATTGTCTTCTTGTGGTGGGAGAGTTGGACAAGTTGGGCTAATGAGACTTTTCAAATTACGAGTCCTCGACTTTAAATACTTTTCTTCCTTGCACCCCTCATCCATGGACCCTCACATTTACATCCAGAAAGCCGAATGCTTCGGAAAAACCATGTCGCTTAGTAGTTGGTAAGTTGTGTCTGTATGAGAGAGAGAGAGAGAGGTGACTGAATTTTCAATTCCGAGGGGTTATATGGCATTTAGACTTTCAAGCCCTAAGAAACGTTGATGACACTTATCACTGAAATAAAGCTCAGAATACAGACATTGAAACATTAAAATTCAGCAACATGTAGCTTTCAGATGCAAAGTTAACAATATAAATAATGTTCATTTTAGCAAGCAGTGAACCATTTAGTTTCTGTACAGTAACAGTGCTTAGATACCCCTGTACTTCCAGCACAGTCAAAAGTGGGCATGCAATCTTTCTTTTATCTCCAGAAAATCTTGAGAAGAAAAACCGTGCCATCATTCCTGGAAAAATTAGTGTCGGTTTGCTCCTCGTCAGCTCCTCAGAAAAAAACTTTGATATTGTTCATTGCATTACATCATTAAGACTGTCTAACGTTCAAAATCTTCAGAGAGTCTGCAGAAGATCTGAAACCGATTCTCTAACCGGCATGCTAGGAATGGCGCCCTTCGCTTGGACACAGAGAGAAGCTGCTGCCGCTGCAACAATTGCAGGAACTATCATTTCGAGTTAAACGTTTCTATGAGAAGGATCTCAACTAAAACAAAAGCATCGCGCTGCATACCGGCAAATCTGAGGCACTCTGCTTTCGATTTGCCCTCGACATGAGCCACAGCAAAAGCAGCAGTAAACGTGTCACCAGCTCCGGTCGTGTCGAGGACCTTCTTTGCTTTTATGATGGGTTGCTTGATTGGGTCTTCCCCTTCTATGAACAAAGCAGAGCCTTTGTCCCCAAGTTTTAGTAATACTTGCTTAATTCCCTGAAAGTAGACGAGCACAATTTGTCACGTGTGATGCCTTCGCCGAAATGTGCTGTAATCTTATTATGATAAGAGATATAATCACATGTGCCAATATAGGGTGCAGCTGCAGTAGCAAGCAAGTATAAACTCAGTACATCATCTAGCCACACAAGTAGAACGTAGAGAATATTATTTTGACCTAAAACCGAACAGTCAATTAACATTCTGCATGATCACCTTGGGCAATGAAACTCTGCATTTCCTTCAAAGAATTAGGAGTACATGCAATGACAGCACCAATTCCTAAATCATAAAAATTGTTTTGAATGTGCTAGAATCTCACCATTTCATGAAACTTCGCTACGGCTTGGCATATTTGTTCAAAATTTTCTGTGGGCATTGCAGTGAGGCGAGCGAGCTCTGTTTCATTTGGGCTAAATATGTCAACAGAGCTCAAAAGTTTATGTGGAATTGGTGTATCCATTCCCCCAGCATCCAAAATGACTGGAACACCTGCACTCCTTGCAGCCTTAAGACACGTGACATTCATTATAAGGTGGTGCAAAAAAAAATTATTAGCAAGCCAGGTCAAATATGGGCACAAGCAAACAGACTGGGAGAAAAAAAGGTAACAAAAAATCTTTCCCTTTTTTACAGGAAAACTTAACAGCAGAGATACACCACCAGCAACTTGCAAAAATGCCAAATGCCAGGGAAAGGGAACAAAGACAATCTCCTCAAATAAAGGCCTAGAACACCCAAAGGTACCATGCTCGTGGAGGTTAGAACTTGAAGGCAATAGCAATAACACCATTGAGATGAAAATTTATTTTCCACACTATCTAGAAGCAAATTATGATAAAGTGTAAAAGGTTGTAGTAGAGTAACTAATTTAGATACTAGTTTCTCAACTGAGGAGGCAGCATAACACTTAGCCACTGCCTAAACTACAATAGAGAGCCACTTTATCTACTAAAGTCATTCATATATGTCAAAGATACCGAATCTTCAATCAATCATGGATATCATAGCCTCAACAACATATGTAATCTGATAAAGCACCTCCGCTTGTGCCACTGCCTAAAAATATAGCACTTGAGATGAAAACTGTAATGCTGCCAACAACATGATTGATAAACCCAACATGGTAATCAAGCTCAATAGAAGATGCACATAAAAAATGTATCCCTGAAAGCAACCAACTGAATGGTATCGTTAGGGATCTCATACGCACACGCCTCGTCGTTGACAAAAATGCAGAGAACTCACAATCCAAGCAAGCTTCAATTATCCATCAGACACTACTGGCTGATGCATTTCTTTTTCTTTCAAAAACTGCAACGACCCCCAATAAAGCTTCTTCGTTACTCTCTCTCTTTAGCACAATCCACAGAATCATACTAATCCCACTCCCAAATCAGGAAAACAGAGATACCATCACTTCACCCTACAGAGAGCACCAACATGCCACAAGCATTTGAAATTCAGAAAAAAAATCCAAAAGAAGCATTTCCAAAACGAAAAAACAACTAACCTTGGCAACTTGATCGTTGACAAAATCAGGAATTTCCCTCTGGAGCAAAACAATCCCAGCATTCTTCACGAGCTCCAAGTCCTCATCAGGCAAAACCTCAGGCCAAGAGGACATGTTGGTACCACCGACGATGATGATCGAGTTCTGCCCATCAGATTGCAGCATCACCACCGCATGCCCAGTGGGGGTCCCACTCACAGTGTTAAGATGATCAAGTTTGACCCCACTATCCTCAAGTGCCTGAGAAACCAACTTCCCGTGAGCATCTTCACCAACCTGGCCCAAGAAATAAGTGGGATAACGCAATTTGCCCCCGCAAGCGGCTTGGTTCGCGCCCTTGCCGCCGGCAAGAGTCTGACCGGAGGTGGCCGAGATCGTCTCTCCCTCTTTCGGCAGCCGCTCGATCTCGACATATATGTCGGCGTTCGCCGATCCGACGACCACCAAGGGCGGCGGGTCAAAGTTGGGATTTTGAGAGATGGGTGTTGGTGGGTTTTTCGAGGGGTTTATGGAGAAGGAAGGAAATGGTGGATGAGCTTGACGGTGATTCAAAGGGTTCTTGGCGTTGAAAAGAAATGGTTTGGCGTTGGTTTTAGGACGTTGTGGTGTGATCTGGGAGTTTCGGAAGGCGGGGTTCCAATGGTTTGATGGTGAAAATGCCGTCGTTCTCATCTCTGTTGAATCAGGAAAAACTTTGCCCGATGTGGAGAGTTTCTGATGAAATTCAGCTTTGGAATTCGTGTAATTTGGTAGAACAAGAACGTGAATCAGTTCGCTGTAACAGAGCGATTGACTTCACACAAGTGGGAGCTGGTGATGACTGATCAGTCCCGCTGGAGCTGCAGCTGATCATTTGGACCTTCTTCTTCTTCTCAGGCCCAAGAGGAACCGGGCCTCTCCATGGAAGAAAGAAACTACCTCTAGCCCAAAAAATGGCCTGAGGGATCTTGCTTATTCAGTTCCTCCTTATGCATGAGAATCAATCAGAGTTCATCAACGGCGCGTTTGATAACCGGCCAAACAGTAACTATTTCTATTCTTTTATTCTCAGAATTAGTTTTGAAACAGAAATCCGTTTGATAAATATTTTATTCCCAAACACAAATTTGCAAAAATTTATTCTCAGAATCAGTTTTGAAACAGAATTAAGAAGCAAAAAAAGTTATTTATTGATTCCGAGAACAAGAATAAAAAATGGAAAAGAATTTTTTTTTCTTCTTCTTTTTCCTGGCCTGTGGTCGGTCGCCGGCCGCCGGCCACCGGCGACTGGCCACAGGCCAGGGCCGGCGAGGGTGTCGCCGCTCTCACAGGACCTGGCATGGGCGACCCTCGCCACCGCCCTCGCAAAAAATGGAAAAGAATTTCTTCTTCTTCTTCTTCTTCTTGGCCTGTGGTCAGTCACCGACCGCCGGCCACTAGCGATTGGCCACAGGCCAGGGCCGATGAGGGTGTCGCGGCCCTCACCGTATCTGGTATGGGCGACCCTCGCCGCCGCCCTCGCAAGGCTAGCGGCTCGCGGCTTAGGCGAGGGCGACCCTCGCTAGATCTGGCGAGGGCGACCCTCACCCAAGCTGCCGAGGGTGCCAGGCAACTAGCCACCCTCGCTAGATTTGGTGAGAGCGACGGCGACGGCGAGGGTCGAGCCCTGTGGCCAGGGCCAGTGCCAGCGACCTAGCCATGGCAAAGAAAGGGGAAGAAGAAAAGAAAAAAGAAAGAAATATTAATAAAATTAAAGTATTATTAATAAAAAGAATTTTTGTGCAATTACTAAATGCATTTCTGTTCTTTTTCTATTCTAAGAATAGAAATTTTGGGCAGTTACCATACAACTTCAAATGTTTAGAAATTGTTCCCGGATATGGAATAAAAGAAAAATCATTTCTGAACAGAAATTGTTTCCGGGAACAGAATAGTTGCCAAACGCACCCCTGATGTACTCATAACTTCAAATATTTTTCATTCTATGTGTAGTATATTTTCTGACGAAATGTAATCCCTTAATGTCTAATATGAATCGAACTCAAATTATACTTATTAATTCTGTTTATATTTTCAATAACAGTCATCCGTCTATTGAATCACACCTCTTCAATTCATCGTTGCCTTCTAAGAACATGATTATCATTGTTATTAACTGCCGTATCTGGCTTTTGTTCCAAATACTTGATTATTTACATTCGGTAACTCTACAATGGAAGAGATAGCTAGTCATTCTAGCTTTTAAATTGTCCTTGTCACGCTTTAGCTGATCTCTTATCCGATCGATTTTGACATCGTTATGCATGCAATTGTTATCTTGATAGAAGATGCTGTCAGTATGCACAGTTATTTTGGACAAGACAGACATGATTTTAATTATTTTTACCTTTTTCCTTAAACTGTTGGCAATTGATATGTTACGCTTTACAAATTCAGCTCATCTCTATCCATCCTACAGAGTTGGATGTTAGTGTCATATCTAAGTAGGTTCCTCCTTCCTTCAACCTTTGGCTTCAGAGATTTTTCTCGTTCCTGCTTTCAAATCTATCGATGCCGATTGCAAATTCTTCCCCTTCTGTTATGGGCATGTCGCTGTATTAAGTGCCGATGTTTGTCTCCTGCGTTTGCGAAAATGAAGGATTTTTAAATTCGACATTAGGACATGACTGTTACGAAATTCAAATCGGCATTAGCATAAATATTACAAACAATACAGAATTGTAAAGAAACGAAATTGCAATAATAAAGTCGGAATCGATACAAACGAATACCGAGGCCTGTGTTTGACACAGTTTCCTTAAAATAGATTCGTTCCCTCCAGTACGCGATTGAGGTTTCGTGAACGTCTGTCTCCCAGGATATAACGGTTGACAGCGAAGAAGAGAGCACGGCACTTCCAAGCTTCCGGCAAACTTGAACAAACTCGGAATGAACACTACCGAAAAACAGTGCAAAAATGCAGAGAGAGTGTAAAACCAGAGGAAGAATGATTTCGATAAAAAGGAACAGAGGGGAGAGCAATTCGGGAATAATAACGGCCGATTAAATCTGTCGCACGTTATGAAATTCGTAACTGTTTGAGTTGAAAGAAAAATAAATCAGAAGGCAACGAGGCCCACTTTTCGGTCCTGCAATCGTGTACGCGGGATGTGCGCTCGCGCCCAAGTTTCAACTTGTCGGGCGTCGGATTTGCACCCCCTGTGCCTGCGCGCGAGGCAGAGAGTTTGTGCTATGATAATTACCACTTCAAATAAGTGTAACTGTATATAAAGTACTCCATAGCCTTATTTCATTTCCGTTGTGGGAATAGTATTTTTTCACTTCCCACTTCCAACTCAAGAGTGTTCTTTGAGCATCAATTTCTCGTTCATTCACCCATCAATTTATCCCATATTTCCAACAATGACATCCAACTAGGAACTTAAAGCTGAAAAGATCCTTACACAAAATACGGGGCTATAACAGTACAGACAAAGTCATTTTCCTAGACAATTAAGACCAAAAATACCAGGAGGGAAGGGCCATCTGATCCGGTCATCACATTTTATCTGTTTGCTTTTTCCCTTGGTTAATGATGCGCTCTTATTACGCATGTTATTCACATTCTCTTACTTTGCTAACTCGATATAAATCCTCTCAGGACACCGGCTATTATAGCCGTTGGGTCGCCCAGGATGGCCGAGACAACAAGCTGGACGGCTCCACCTGCCATCTGAAGATACTTCTTCATATTATCACCTTTTGCCCTCGGATTACTCCTTGACGTGCCACTGAGGCTTGGGATCTTGGTGTGCAGCTCCCGAACCTTGTTCTTGTCCACGTTGAAGTAGGACGCCAACCAGCTCTCGACAAGCAACTTCTTGACACACGACACATGCAGATTGTACGTCTTTGACTGGGACTTGTAAGCCCAGCCTGGCCCGGAGCCCTTGCCTCCACAATGAAGGCACGGGCCGGAGATGTTTTTAGACAGGTAGAGGACGTTGTTCCCGTCGTCCAGGACTTGGGGGAGATTCACGCAGCAAGGGTGGAGATCTAAATCACGGCACACGCAGTGGTACACGAATCCGAGGATGTCCGTCCCGCACGCGTCGCACACTCTCAAGTTGCGGTCGGGGGGTTGGTAGTAGAAATTAAATGTGCATTTCTTGTAGAAGGGGTGCGTTACGGTCGGCTGCACTGCGCCACACGCCTTGTGGAGCTCATACTTGCACAACTGGCACTTGTACCTGAGCCCGATCCCGGCTTCTTTGCAGCCGTGGCAGTCGAACGGGACCTCCGAGTATTCCAGCTTGAGCTTATGGTGCGGTAGTGAGTGGGCAGGGTGAGATATCTCTCTGTCAATCTTCATTGGTATTCATTCAATCTTGTTTTGCGTTCCCTTGCTTAGGAGAGTTTGTTCAATGGTGTTGATGAAGAGGGAGGACCCATGGACGGGTCCTATATATTGAGAAATTCTGAGATTGATGGGACTAAGAAAGAAGGTTCCATTTGTCCTCGAAATGGCCAAAAGAAAAAAGCAACTTATGAAGCATCTGCTTTGATCTGATCCATTTGAGATCTTTTGCTTTTGGAATGATCCCGAGTGGAAGAAATGTTGCTCCTGTTCACGCAATTATTGATAAAGTCTAATAGGTTGAGTGAGGAATCATGCAAAAGTAAGCAGTTCCTGGATTCTATTGTCTAAAGGAAGGATGTGACAGTGAAGAATGAGATTGATCTTGGATTTTATGTGGGCTCTCTGCAGAATTTTCCCGGTTATGAGACCTGGATGTTTGAAGAGGGACAATGTGTTTCAAGATTTGAGATTCTAAGAGGTGCGTTTCTGGCTCATGGAAGAATTATTACTACAATAAAAGACTTGACACTTTAGAGGGAATTATCATGATCTGCTTTCCAGTCTCTAGTCATTGAATGTTTATCGGTTGCCCTTTCTTTTTGGGGGTAATGACTCATTCAGTACCCGAATTTTTAACCGTTTCACAATAAATAGCCAATCTTGGTTCAATCAAATACCTTAATTTTTTTTATGTGGATCAATTTGAGACTTCCATTAAAATTGCAGACAACAAATGTCAAATTGGACACTAACACTGATAAATAGCCTTAACTGTCCATGTTAGTGTCCGGTATGATCACTTGAATGATGCCACGTCAATAGTGACACGTGATCCCACCCCCAATACTTCGTACGCAAGGTATGTCTATGTCAATAATTGGGCTTGACTTTTGCTAAGTAAGTGAGCAACGTAAATTAAGGGTGCGTTTGTTTTACGAAAAATGTAACGTTTTTGAAAAATATTTTTTGAAAAATTATTTTTTTGAAAAATAGTTAGTTTTCCTTTGTTTGGTGATATGTGATTGAAAATATTTTCTAGTGTTTGGATCTCATTTGGAAAATGATTTCAATTCCATAATTTTATCTCAGGCAAAAAAAAAATTCGAATTTTTAAATATTTTATTTTTAAAAATAAAAAAGAAAAAGAAAGAAAAGAATAAAATATTAAAAAAATAAAGGGAAGCAATTCCGGAAAGTGTTTTTACTTTCTTATATTAAGAAATCTATTTTCCTAATTTTATACACGAATGTTTTCCTTAACCGGATAGTGTTTTTGGTTGACTAATCATTTTCGGCAAATCAAACGAGTAAAAGTCCGGAAACCAGATTCCCGAAAAATACTTTTCCCGAAACAAACGGACCGTAAATCACATGACATTGTCCTTTCCTTTTGTCTTACTTATGACTTAGGTATCCAAATTGGAAATCAATGGGAAGAAGCATGTAAATTATAGACCACCCGTCTAGGATCAATCTGGATTGTTCTGTTTGGTCCGTAGAGGTGAAGAAAAGAATAATAAGTCACCTTTGATCGAAAAGGAGAGTCTCCAAAACGTCTAATGAATTCTCTTTTTGATGGCCCGCCTACGAATCAAATGCGTATGTGGTACACAGAAGAGACACCTAACCAATGCATATGGCCTTGAGGAGGAGATTCTTCCTGCTCAAAAGACCTTTACAAGTTCCCCACATACACTTCCAAAAGTTGCAGCAGATTTTTCCATGTGAATATTAATTGAAAATGTCAACATAAGACAACATAATGGAAAAGAACGAGTTCATTGAGAATTTGTCAAGTGAGTTTGCTGAATGAAGTATGGATAGATGAAGATGAATATAACAACAAATTCGTACTTACCCAAGAGTTCTCTGAGATAGTTTGATAATGAAATTTGAACTGAATTATGAATCTTTATCTCATCTGTGATTTGGATCAATACGATAATCGGAGGTTGTGACTCTTTAGAACTCTCTTGCTGGGCATGGTGCTCGATTTTTCTGCTGCATAAATTGTGGCACACGTAACATTGCTCCGTACAATGTCTCTTGGGCTACATCGAGATGAAAATCGGCGGTCATTTAGTTATAAGAAGGGCTGTCAAAATAACAGAGTTGGAGACGTGATGGCAAAATGAGATAAGTTAGATCAATAGGGGAACCACAATCAGCGAAACGTTCACAGAACTCAGGAAGAAGATACACGGCGCAGTTTAGGGCTCATGCAAGATCCATCGATGTATCCCACCTCTATATATATGAACATCTTTTTTGTGGGCAAAACCTACATGAGTATATAGTTGACCTGAGATCATTTCCGTGCAATTGAGCGAGGATTTAATTAGAATGGGCTTTATGTTTATTACCACGAAAAGGAAACTAAAATCTAAAGGTCACGTTCTAGAGGCACTCTCGTTTAACTGCTATCTGATTCTTTTGGACAAATGGTTTAAATGACTTTCGATTGATGCTGAAAAAGTATAGGATAGAAGGGTCGCCAAAATATTGGGCTAGTCTTGGCAATTAAGATGCTGTTGCCTTGGCGAAATGATTTTAATCACTCAACTAATCTCTCTGCTGCCTAAGCGGCTAAGAGTACCCATTTCATGGCAAGCTTTGTATTTGTTTCATCGCAGCAATGAGAAACAAGTACTGCGCGACATGGAAAAAGTGTCTCCAACTTATGCCGATATCGCTCTGCATTGTTGTAATCATCTTCCTTGTTCTAGGCAGCTGGTTTCACTAACTAGGACTCTGATTTTGTTGAGCAAGTGTCAAGACTGGCAAGACAGCAAGAGAGGAAGTTTTGCGAGTTTTCGGCGACAACAAACCTAATTTTGATGTGTTGAGCAGACTAAAAGTCATAAGGATTCTCTTCATATGAACTCATGCTGTTCGTCTTGGTTTCAACAAGCACACGAGTGGTTCCAACAATTTATCTAATGCTCGCATCCTCAATGTCTCTTTTTGGGACAAAAACAAGCTGACATTTGATGGATACGCTGGTAAGCATGATACTGTATCAGGTGCTCGGGTTATATGCACCTGGATATACGACAACGATGACAATTCATAAGTCAATCCAGTTGGGAGATATACAAATTCCACGGGGAGTTCAGATTGTGCTTGTGCTCATGATCCACCATAACCAAGAAATGTGGGCCGATGATGCCAATGAGTTCAACCCCGAGAGGTTCTTCGAGGGAGTCTCAAAGGCAAGCAAGAACAAGCTCTGCTTTTTCTCTGCTTTTTTCCCTTTATGTTGGGGTCCTAGGACTTGCATTGGCCAAACTTTGCACTCCGTGAAGCCAAAGTTCTCCTGGCCTTGGTTCTGCAGAAGTTCTCAATCCAGCTATCTTCATCTTACAAGCATGCCCCTAGTCCTTTGTTCACTCTCCAACCCCAATATGGAGCCCCTTTGATGTTGCCTAGAATCAGATACGATTCGTGGTTCGTATTTGATAGGATTTTACGCTTCTGTTTGCTTCCTCGTGACCATAAGAATGGATTATTCTGTCTTTGCCCTTCTGGACTAGAAAAGTTGCTTCTAATGATATATTGGAGCAAGTATTGGGAGCACCCGGATCAGGCGAGCTCAGCTCACATCAACTGTTCGATCCGGTGAGTCCCACGTGCAGCCCACTTCGTCCAAACCGTACACGCGAGTTGGACTCACATGTATTGGATGCAGCTAAGATTCTTCGAAGTTGTTTCATTTTGGGAACTTTTCACTAGTATGCTCTTCTTAGAATGTCCTAGTTAATTGGCTTTTGCACACTCTTTCGGTGGCCCTTTCTCTTCAATTTAGAGCCCTATTCTCTGATGTTTCTTTTGATTGGTTCCACTAGTTTCTTATATTTGGACAGAGTTCCTTCGGTGATGTATTAGTTCCTGTGACTAGTTTGCGTTTTGCGGAACCGAATATATTGGATAAACAGACGAGATTTGAAGACAGCAAATGATACAAGACATGATTTGTTAATCATCTTCATACAAGTAACTGCTGAACTTTCCTAAGCATTGAGCTTAATTCCTAACTGAAATTGAGACAATTAAAATCAAAAATGAAATTAAAAATTTAGGTAATGAAACCCACGAAGGAACTCGACTCTAACAATATAACAAGTCATGAATAACCTCTCGACCGTGTTGATCAATTAGAGATATATATATATCGCGTTGTTCCGGAAAATAGAAACAAATTGTTCCATCATCTCAGGTAAATGATATCACATACTGCGTACCGAAAGAGACGTCGTGTCGTGATTAGGGAAAAGAATATTTTCATAACGGTTACATATTAATGTCAGGTACGTTGCATGGGTATATGACGACGTCCAAAACGATATGAAAGGAAAGAGACATTGCCAGCTCATATTTCATTTCTATTTCGACCACTTCACGTTAAATGATAATCACGAAACATTCGATGAGTTATCCCGATCGGAGTTACCGCATACGAAAAGAGACGCCATGTCGCGATTAAGGAAAAGAACATTTTCCATAACGGTCACTTATTAACGTCACTTACATTGCAGCTGCATGGGTACGTGACGACGTCCGAAGAGATATGAAAGGAATGAGATATTGCTAGGTTATATTTCATTTCTATTTTGACAAAACCGCTAGAATTCCAACAAAAAACTGTGACACTTTTTTTTTTCATTGGAGCAACATATGATGAGTCATGAAACTACATTCGATCTTCCGAGACAAATGGGCCTAAAATTAGGTTCTCCTAGATCCACTCGCAAGCCCGAGATAATAGCTTCGTGCAAATTTGCATGCTTTTCCCCTCAAGAGATTTAGCGCACGAGCTACGGGCGGGACCATTCTTAGGCAAAACAGGACCCAATCCACGCACGCCACGTGCCGGAGTGTCGATGCTTTCGGTCTCTCCGCCGCTCATCCGACGCTCCATGTCGGCCCTTCCCGAGCTCGTGCTCATGGGCGCGAAGTTTCGGAGTTTAACCTCGAAGACAAGAAGTCCCAGCCGTTAGTTAACAGTAATCGAAAGAGAAGAGAAGAAAAAAAAAAAAAACAAAAAGACTGCTTTGGCTTTGTGACGACTCGAACTGACCCGAAAATCAGTTTTGTGTTCGATTCATTCGTTGGTTGGTATATATAATGTTCACGAAGAGAGAGGGAGAGGGGGAGGGAGAGAGAGAGAGAGAGCTGTCTCTTGGGTTTTCTTGAAGGATTTTTCAGTTGGCGAGAGTGAAAGGAGTCACCTTTGAGCGCTGGGTTGATCGGAGATGGAGGACGACGAGAGCACGATCGACCTGAGCCGTTACTCTTCGCTCGGTGATTTCAGGCTCGACGTCGAAGCAGAGAAAGAGGGAGGACGAGAACGAGGAGGAGGAGGAGGAGGAGATGGGTCTTTGGTTTTCTGCTTCTGGGTTTATCTCTTGAACTCCACCACCGCTTTCCCTTGTACCATTTTTCGTCAGGTAGAGAAAAGCCGCCGTTTTTCTTCTTCTTCTTCTTTTCCCTTTGCCGTTCGTTGGTTCTTGATATGGGGGACTGTGTTCATTTCTCAATTTTGTGAATTTTCTTTGTTTTGAGAGGTCAGGTTGTTATGTGGTTTTTGTTTGGCGGTTGTTTTGGCGATTGATCACTCGCCAGTTGGTGGATTTTGTGATTTCGAGGGATACTTTGCGTTGGTTTGGATCGATCACCGTTGCTCGGCTCTCGGGTTGTGTGTGTCGGTCTGATTACGATAAGTTTGAATCACTGTGGAATTTTCCCAAGAGTGTCTTTTAAGGTTCACTGAAGTCTATTGCAGTGTTGTTGCTGTTAGATGGTTCAGTAAGTGTCAATGGCTGTTGGTGGAACCAAAGCTCATTTGGTTTTTGTGGATTTGTCTGGGATCAATCCTTTGTAATGGGTCGTGTCTTGTTTTTTTCGTCCCTGTCACTTTCTTCCTTGGTTTGTAACACTAGGGACTAGTCGAAAATGGTGATTAAGGGATGATTGCCTGCCTTTTTTTTTGTATACAATAATCACAAGTAATGTTGCCCGTCGCTTCTCTTTTTAGCTCAAAGTTCTATGGTTAATCAGGTTAAAATTTTTGTTTACACAGGTGAACTCAGATGTCCAGGACGGTTTTCCAATTCTTGTTTTGAATGAAAATAAGAGACTCGTGCTTCTGCCACCGCTTTCTCCACAAAAAGAATCCCCTGATTCTGAGGTTTCTCCTTTTTCAAGTGAAAAATCGTACGCTTCTTCAGATAGCGAGTTTCCATTTGGAAAATGGGTCCATGTTGGCTGTCAGGTATGTATATCAAGTGTCTGGATTACACTGCTTCTTGGCATGAGAAGGTTTTATACATGAGTTTTTACCTGCTTGTTCCTTTCGAGTTGATAACTGCTGAAATTTTTATGGCTATTGCTGAGCACATTAATGTCTGTCATGAATACCACTTATTGGTCGGAACTGTTGAGCTGAAGCAAGTTGTTACTGAACATGTAATCTGTCTGTTTTAGCTTTAACCAATCATTTTCAGATGTAATTGGAATTGTATGAATGGTACATAATCTTCAAATATATAAAAGTAAGCCATATTCGATGGATATTCAAATAGCACGTAGAACTGCCGCACTTTCATTGTGACTGAAAAGAACAAGTTTTTATAAAGTATGATTCAATTTATATTCATTGGAGTGGCTGTGTTTATGTAATTACATGCAAGTCTATGTCTCATTGTTGGCCTGACGAAAGAGATAAAGTAGAAGTCTAGATTGCATAAATGGTGCTCAATTGAAAGTCTTTTGTCAAGCTCATGATGTCTTTGTCTTTCCTAGGTTTCTTATCCTTGGGGCCTTTTTCCCTTTGTAAATTACTCAGATTTCTATCTTCATGGCAGGTCTCAAATGACCTTTTACGGCTTCACATTGACGGGGAAGTGGTGGATGAGAAGTGCCTAAGTGCTTCAAAAGACGGAGAAACTTATCCAAGTCCTTTAAGGAAAATAAGTTTGGTTAGTACCAATGGAACTGATGATGGTATAGAAGGTTATTTGTACAGTCCAAAGGTCTTGCACCCTTCTTCATCCATTGAGGATCACTATAAGGTACCTTTCGTCAAGTTTGTTGGATCTTTTTCATGTGGATGTGATATCTTTTATGAATATTTTCTTGTAATGCCAGGACTCACCTATACACTTAGCTATCGACAAGTCATCTGCTTCTGACATAGAAGAAGGTAGTGATGGTATCTGGAGTATCATAGGTGGAAAGGTAAGTCGTTATATCTTCCTGATAATCTTATCACTACTACATTTTTTTTTACAGAATCTAATTGAGTTTCGCATCCAGTATTAAGCATTTGGCGTTGAACTGCCTTGACCAATTTGAATCTTTTTTCTGTGACGTCATGAAGCAATATTTCTATGTTAATAGCTTCTGAGTCTTTTTTTTCTTTTAATAGAAAAACAGTTGGCTCTAAAGCTTTCCTCTTTGGAAAATGTATCAATTTCTGATATGCACAAGTATTTGCAATTTCAGCTTTTCGGGTGGTTTCTGGTTGTGCTTCGAAAGCAAGGTTGCGAATTGGAGATTCCCTGTAATTGTCTATCCAAAATAAATTTATATATATGACTGACTGACTGACTGGGTCATAGCTTTCCTTGCTAGTGTGTCTGGAAAATGAGATGGGCAGAGAAAACTTACTCTGTGGTGTTTTACATTCAGCGTGGTTGTATGAGTCTGTTCTTACTTCTTTGAAAACCAATTAGCTTGTTATTTGTAATGTTCAATTTGCTCCTTAAAAGTCAGGTGCCATGCTCTAGCTACATCGTTCTTCCAATAGGCATTGACAATTGGTTATACTGAATCGCAGGCATCGTGTCGGAGGAACTTTGCGTTGGATGTTGTCTTGCTAGATGCGTTTGGCCAGATTGTGAATAAGGAAATGGAGGTTTGCTTCGTCTTGCTTCTCTCTCTCTCTCTCTCTCTCTCTCCAACCCCAACTAAAAACAGCTATCATAATAGAAAAAAAGGAAAAAGGAAAAAAATCATAGATAAGGTGCAGTTAATAATTGACCTTTTTTGTGTTTTTTATATGGTAGGTTGTTGCTTCACTTCTGTATGCTAACAGTGGCTCGCTGGTGGAGAAAACCAGCGACGATGAAGCCCCTCTTTTGACAAGCTACGATGGAATTGAATTTGATTCCTACGAGAAACCTAGCAAATTATTGCATGGGCGTGCTTCTTTTAAGCTCAAGATATCTCAGGTAGATGTCGGTTGTGTGATTTGTATTATGTGATTGATAGCTTGTCATCTGAATTAAAGATTGCATTAGTGGCTTGCGGTTTGTTTCCAAGTATTTGAGTAGGATTGTATACATGAAAAGTAAATGGCATGCGGTAATTGATATTAGCGTCGCATTAGTATGTTACGCAGCAACAGTATGCCTTGGAGATCGCTTAATTAAATTCATTTATCACTGGCTGGACAGGGTCATCATGTGCGTAGGTTGTAAATTACTGCGGATTAGATGCAACGTTTTTTTTCTTTGGTTGAATATTTTCTTAGACATCGTTAGCTATAATGGTTAGATCACCTCTTTAAGGGAAGCTTACAGGAGAACTGAAAGAACTTGGACCAATTTTGCCTCTTCCATATAAATACGTTTGGGCATACATAAAGTGTTCATACTTTATACAGTTGATCAACTTGAATTGATTCCAAAACATTTTCTGAATTCGACTTGTTATTGCTCATAAACAAGAATATAATAACACTTGCTTAAGAGTAGCTGTAATGACCTATTATTGATTCAAACTTTTATACGTGACATTTCTGCTTGTATGTGTGTTCTTCTCTGCATTAGCATGAAGTACATTTACTAGAGTATCAGTGGGGCAAGTTTAGTGCCTTCTTGGTTTTCTAGTTTGCCCCATTAGGAAACTAGTCTTTGATATGCCATTGCCCCATTTTATGACTTTTTTTATTGAAGACAATCATATAGCTTACATGGAAGAATACTTTCTCGTCCCTGAAACTTTTGCTCTTTTTTTCCATTTTCAGCTTTCATCCAAGTGTGATAACAGGTTGTTCCGTGTGAGGTTTAACATACCACAGGCTGGAAATTATCCTTTCTTAGAGGCTTTTTCAAATCCCATCCGATGTATTTCTCGCAACCGCAATGCCAGAACATCCTCTCTGATAATTTGGAAAAGGCCACCATCTGGCATTTTACCAGTTAAGTGTACTTTATCTTCCAAATATGAATCGCCAGAACTCGAGCATAATACTGTACGTGAAGCAAAACCTAGTCCATCATCAAAAAGGGTTAGATTGGGAAAGGGAGATTATTCGTTTCAGCAGCTGGATGACGAATGCAACTCTAACATCCGTAGTGATTTTAAGGTACGGCAGATCATCATTTTACACTGCGGTATCCATCGTGAGATTGTGAGCACGGTACTGCTAATATGATAGGGGAAGCATATTTGGATGTGCTGGTGAGCTATGAGCCCTTTCCAGAAATAGTTCCTCTCATGTACATTCCCAGTCACATGGAAATTTGCATGCATGCGAATTGTTTTTGTAAATGCATGCTTTATCTTAGGTAAGCCTAAGAAATGTCTCCGGCTAACAATTTCCCATTTCCACCAGAAGAGTGGAAACTATAGTATAATTTCCAAAGGTTAGGCAAGTTTTTGCCGATTAGTCCTAGTGGATTTCATGTTTCTTAATGTATTTACTAACACTAATCATTAAGAGAAGGACTTATTGGTGGGCCCGCAAGATGCAGTCATGAACCATTAATGGTTGCTATCAATTACCCTGGTTACTGCCTTATGCTACATCTAGATTGTCCCTGCTCATACTCCTTTGCCAGTTCTCATGCTCCTTTGGATTAAAAAATATCTTTATATGCCATATCTGAAGAAAGTGGAATATTTAAGGTTTGTTGGCTGCAACTTATAGAAAGTCAGAAGTAACTCTTTTACCTTTGTCAAATTTGTATTACTTACAATTTAAAATATTATGAAAAGTTTGATATGAATACGTGTATTAACATGTATACATTGTGAAACTTCAATGAGTTTAGATTAAAAACTGTCAAAAATGATACGCTGCAAGATTCGAAATAAGTCAACAGTCAAAAGTAAAAGTCACTCCAAACAAACTTTTACTTGAGGAGAGTACTAATTGTTTTTGCAACACAGCACTGGAAAAGTGCTACCCATCTTTCGATGTTGTCAACACTATATAATTTTTCAGCTTCTTGTTCTTGATTTCTGAAATTTTGTCTTGTGAAGTTCTCTCTTGATCTGAACACAATCTAAATGTTTATCAGGCTAAGGATAGTTTCGGGACAAGCCCAGACGTGATATTGAAGAATTATGAAGCTGCAGAGAAGCGTTCTTCAGATGCTGAATGTACTAAAATGCAAAATTCAAATTCCAAGAGTATGCCAAGTGTTGGAAAAGCAGTTTCAGAATCTATCACATTTAGGTACTGCTTAGCAGCCTCACATGAGAGGGCTCTTCTGCTGAAGGAGTTTGCTGTATCTGCTTCAGATGAAGAAGTTTTGGAACTCGCAAATCAGGTCTCCTTGTACACTGGATGCTCCCATCATCGGTAAGGTCCTATCTCTTTAGTCGTTTCCATAGGGATGCTGATAGAGACTATACTTGCCATTTTCCCTTATGTGGACGATAGGCTATTTGTCTGAAATGATTGTGTTTGTTAGTGACGGGAGAACACTTGTCTTCCCAAAGCCAACCACAAGCTGGCTAAGTACTAGTCTTCTCACATGTTTTACTTTCTTGTTGCCAATTGACCAAACATGTTCAAACCTGAAATTGATATTTCTCATTAATGCATGATACATACCGTGTTCTCTGAGTACTTAATAGTAACGATGTTGCTTATTGCTGGCTAAGTAGTTTCCCCACCTGCCATAGTTTGCTGTCTCCCCTTGTGTCACTACCACACTTTCAAAAAACGTGTACGTGAACCTTGTGCGTCCATAATACTTTTTTTTTTTCAGGAACCAAATTGCAGTTGCAAAGAAATTGATAGAGGAAGGAACAAAATTATGGAGCTTGATTTCACAAAACAACAGCCGTGTTCACTGGGACAGCGCTATCTATGAGATTGAAGAGTACTTTATGAAGATTGCTTCCTGCAATACTAGAACTCTTTCCCAACAGGTTCTTTCTCTCTCTCTCTCTCTCTCTCTCACACACACACCGCTCGCGCATACACACATATGAGAAAATTATGTTTAATGGAAGAGGAAGATGATTGGAACCATTTCCTTTCAGCCACTTTTTAAAGTATGTGCTCCTTGTGTCCTGGGGACTTTTTGCTTCTTCATGCAACGACTATAGACTGTAAAGAAGTACATCTATTTATTTCTGAAAGATTGCTTTAGATGCACACGGTCCAAATTTGATGTCTGTTATAGATGATTGAGGCTATAATCTAAGATGAAGGGGTACTTACGTAAAAAAAAAAGTAAAAAAAGGAAAGCAGCTATTTTTGTACCTATTAAGGAGGAAATTCTTGGAATTCAGCAAAAAAATGGAGTAGATTCTTGGAGGTTTTTTGAGATGCTTTGCCAGAAATGCCACATCAACATATAGCTATTGAGTTACTATTACATTGTGAGACAATGGAAAGGAAACATATAGAATTCGTGAAGGGAACAAAATGATATAGAAAGCCATGTCAGTATAAGAAAATAAAACAATCTAGAAAGCCATGCTAGTTCACACATGTCACTATCTGACATCGAAGGTAATATTCCGCTTTTGGACATTCATGTGGCCAAGCATGTGTCCAATTATGAAGTACTTTGTGAGTCCACTGTCCCAAATTCAGAGACACAGAAGAGTTGGACAATGGGGCACATAAGCAGTCATTTACTGGTTCAACTTTCGTTTTCCTTTGGAATGGAGAGTTGCCTATTTCAGAAATCTGCAGGATGCTAGGTTCTTGATTTTCCTGATTAAATTTGACTGGTTAGGGAAGCTCTCTAATAGAGAATTGGTCCTGAATTTGATGATATCTTTCTCTCTGTCATGGCACAGGACTTCGAGCTCCTGAGGAGAATCTCTGGTTGCCAAGATTATTTGATGCAAGAGAATTTTGAGAGGATGTGGTGTTGGTTGTACCCTGTTGCCCTCACTCTATTGAGAGATTCGGTGAAGGCAATGTGGCATTCTGTGTCCCCTAGATGGATAGAAGGTTTCATAACTAAGGAGGAAGCAGAAACTTCTCTTCGAAGTCCAAAGGGCCATCAAGAACCTGGAACTTTTGTTCTTCGGTTTCCCACATCAAGGAGCTGGCCCCACCCTGATGCAGGTTGCTTGGTTGTGACTTACATGGGCAACGATTACAGCCTTCGCCACAAGCTCCTTTCCTTTGACTATATCTGCAGGTTTGTTCCTTTATCTATTTCTTGTTTCATTTTCTGGACGAGTAACATAAACTTACAGTTCTCTTTAACACATTCGCCTATATTTCTATAACAATGCCTAGCACAACTTGTTGCTCAACTTTCAAATTTCCTGTCTTTGTTATTGTTTTCCTTTGATGGCCAAAGAAGTAGTAGGCCACTAGGGGACCTGCTGCTGATGGAGCCTGGACTATCTCGATTGGGAAGGCAAGATTTACTCCACATTAGTCGAGCCTTTCTATACAATAGAAATAGTATTGTAAGTGCCACTGCTAATAACACATAAATATCTCTGTCAAATTAATGCAGGGCGTTCCGAAGCGAGTTATCTCCTTGAAGATTTCTGCCAGGGACTTCTGCTCTCTAGGTTATGACAATACATGCAGCAACAATGTAACCTTGACTTTTGCTGCATTTATCTCCTTTATTACTTTGTACCTTCAATGTCCCGCGTTAGTAAATCTCTTGTTCTTTCATTCTGGTTAGGTAATCATTTGCAGCAGATAGCGCCATTCTAGGAAACTAACATTGCTGCGTTTCTTAGGCAAAGAGTAATTGAGGGAAACAATTCCAGAATCCGGTGCTTCAGGGTTATCATTTTACCCTGTCATTCTCTTTTCTTTGTCACATCCTCAGTCAGCTGCATTTCGAAAACTAAATGTGAGGTACAGTTGAGTCAAATTTGATTTTGCTCGCTCAGTTGATTGGCTCTGAGTTACAAAGATATATTTTTTCAACTTTTCTAGCCTGCATATCCAGGAGAAGGCTTAAAGTGCAAATTATGGAACCTGCACGTGAAAAGGTTGCGCAAGATCCAGATCGTTAAAGTGCCACACTATCTTTCACGTAGGGAAACTTGACATTCTCCTTGAGAACAGTAAAAATTCACTCAGTGGAAGAATATGAGTAAAATTTTACATCGGTATAAGGTTAAACTAGTAGAGATTCATTCAATCAAATGTTCGACTAACGTTGGATCGCATCTCATTCAGCTGCCATGCCAGGGGGTCACGGTTGTAGAACAGTGTGAGCTTTGAGTAAATACATTCTATATTGGCCCATGTTGGAGTAAGGTTGAGCGTACGCAAGTAGAACCCAATACTTTCATAACAATAAGTTGAGCACGTAGTGATGCGTAACAGCTCCCAAGTACTGTATTTCATCGAACACATTGAAAGAGGAGGGGCTCACGTGCGCCCGGACCCGAACCCACCATACCATTAAACTTATAAAGTGTAATGGAACAGTTGACTGAGGACTTTGGGAAGAAAAAGGGAAACGGAACGGACTGTTTTTTGAGAAAGTGCGTCGAGAGTCTGACCCGGAGAGAACGAAAATAAAATGCGACGTTGTAGTGACAATCACGTGCGAGCCCGTCCTCTCAGTTCCCTTTTTAGACAGATTCCTTGGGCGACGATTCTCCTTCTCTACACGAAAATTAATGGAGCCGTTTGATCTTCTCCAAAAACGGTCACCTTGGTCCTTCGTTCAGGCCTTTTTAATCACCGTCACAAACCACATCGCTTGCTGATCGCTTCATCGTTTCTGTAGCAGCAAGTGGAGGACTAGGGCCGCCGCAGTACTCGTTAGTCATGGCTAAAGCATTGCTCTCCCTTTCTCTCCTCATTTTCCTTTGCTTCATATCAGGTAAATGAGAAGTCTTCACCTTCACGTTAGGGCCTAGGGAGAGCCGTAGCTATGTCTGAAGGTGTAAAGAAACCCTTTTGACCGTTCTTGTTCTTTGTGTGTGTGTGTCTTTATGATCTCAAGATTTTCGAGTTCTGAGTTTCTTTTGAATCTTGGTTGGTTGTATCTGCACGAATCAGTTTTCCTGACCCACATGGGAGTAAAAAAACCACGATGTGACCCAGAACATGTCCCGCTAGATCTAGCATGATTAGTTTTCTGACGCTTCATGTCATATGGTCTCATCTCATGGCATTTTCTTTTTGTGCTAGGCTTAAACGATAAGTCTACATCTGCATAGATGAATGTTTATCAATGAAATAGTTTCAAGAATAGTAGTTCTATAACAATTAGACTTTACAGGAACCAATTGTCTGCGCAAATGTGAATCCAGTTAGTCCAGACAAAATTAGATTACTACCCTCCGTATTTTGTGACGTTTTCTAATCTTTACAAACTCTGATTTGAGGTGTCTTCAGGAGAGCTTGTCAAGATAGTACATGCCCAGGTATTTCAGTCTTCTTGACACTGTCCAAGAAAACTACTAAAAAATGAAATGTGACAAAGAGGAAAATGAATGCTGATCGTTAGAGTCGTTCCAATTGCGTTGCAGAAAACTTGGTGCGTAGCCAAGCCTTCGTCAGACCAGGCAACTCTGATGGCAAACATCAACTACGCATGCTCTCAGCTGGATTGCCAGATTCTTCGAAAGGGCTGCCCTTGCGCCTATCCAGATAATCTGATGAACCACGCCTCTATAGCCATGAATCTCTACTATCAAGCCAACGGGCGGAATTGGTGGAACTGCGATTTCAGGAAGTCAGGCCTCATTGTCGTGACCGATCCAAGTAAGTAAACACCTTTCTCTACTGATTAGTGCATTGATCGTCATCCCAATAGGGGTATATCTTCATTATAATGTGGTAGTTCTCGTTTCTTAGGTCATGGCAAAAACAAAAACTAACATGTGCTTCCGGGCCCGGCGATCTCCAGGAGTACGCAATCGTTCTAACATGATGTTTTATGTCGATTGGCAGGCTATGGCAACTGCAGCTATGAATAGCAGCCGGTATCGAAGGAGAAGCTGCACTCGCCCGTGGTCATAATAAGCTGCAATCCTCTCGTGTGCTGGAGGACAATCTGTCGAGTCTTCTTTGCATCTTACATTAGTTTTGCCCAAGTTTTAGTTGCTGCAAACATGTGGGAATGAAAGGTTTTCGTTAATATTTGTTAAGCCAGCTCAGTGGTCATATTAGCTCGTAATCGTATATGTGCCAACTAAACCAAGCCTTGCATTTTAATAAATAGTGAAAGCACATCCTGCAAAATCGCGAGGGTTACGTTGTTTTCAAGAAACATTAATTACGAGGCTTTTCAGAGTTTTCCAGGGAAAAGAAAAGGATCACCTTTTTTTTTAATTTCGGACATAAAAAAGACATTTTTCGCAACAACCGATGTCCCTACAAATTAACTCATTGACCTTTGTTCTTTCCTTTTCCGTGTCTTGTTTGCTTGGGGCTAACCTTCTTCCTGCGAGGTCTTCGTCGATGAACGTCGCAAACGACGTTTGGCCGGTCTACCCATTTTTGGGCACATGGTAGACTTTTAATCTCAATGAATTAAAAACCCCGGCATTAACTACACGACTTTCAAAACAAGATCTCATTTCTACGCCAGCAGCGATCCCACACGTAGCGGCCATTCCTGATGTACCAAAGGGACAAATCCGTGGTTAAGAAAGGCGATTACATGGCTGCAATTGGACCACCGACTGCTATTTGAGGAAAAAAGATTCTGATCCGTTGGTTGTTTTCCCTCTCCATCACATGTGATGTCATGTCCGTCTATTATGTTCTCGCTCTCCGTTCGCTCTTTGTTGTTGCGCGGAACTCAGAGAGAGAGAGAGAGAAAAGACCGGACACTACTGGCCTCACTTCGAGCCGAGAGCTAGATAAGAAACGCAGGTCCCACGTGGGCTTCCAGTATCCACCCAATATTCACTGCTTCTTTCCCTTTTGTGTGTTCTTTGTTATTAGAGCGCCAAAAAAAGAGAAAAACAGAACACTACAGGTCAACAGAAGTTTGAAATTTTTTCGTTTTCGGATTCATTGAACTCTTTGGGTGAGTTCAATCATTCTTGCGATGATTGTCTGCTTCCGGATCCTCTCTTCCCCGAGATATTGTGAAATTCTTTTTCTTTTCCCCATTCATTTTCTTGCGACTACAAGCGTTGGTGATAAAATTGCGGAGATTTGATTTTATATCGGTTCGCTGAGGATGATGTCGATGACATGCCATAATCTCTTGGACCCGGTTGCTTGTGGGTGTTCGTCAAATGCTTCCTTCGACAGGTCTTCCGTGAGAAAGTGTGCGAACGCCAATACAAGGAGCAAGAATTGCAGAGACTTCGCTGCTCGGAGGTTGCTTTGCTTTCGTCGAGATATTGCCTCGCGTCGGGTTTCTTCAACCAGGACCCCCAATACTCTTCTCGATGGTAATGGTGTCTTTGTCTGCAATTGTTCTCGTCTGGGCTCTATTTGATGTTTTTGGATTTGTCGTACTTAATTTCATGGGTGATAGTGATTTTGTCTGTCTTGCATCCCGAAGTTTGTTTCTTGTTGACCATTTGTGTTCAATTGAACTCCACAGCATCTTACATAAGTTTCACTGGTTGTAATAGATTCAGGTATTGCTCAAAGTCCTTCACAAGTGTTGGATTTGAAGGAAGAGCTGAGAGGCCCCGTATCACTGCCAAATTTGTTTGAAGTTGTTGCTGATGACTTGCAGACACTAAATCAGAATCTTCGAACAGTAAGATTCGTTTGATTGAGATGGTTTCACCTGTCTTGCAACATTATGATTGAAAAGCCTGGCAGTGTTATGTGTCATGCTCTTTTCACTGGAGATGATATGATCTTGTCAGCAGATATCCACATTCATTGTTGGCTGTTTCCCGTGTAATGGTTGAAGAGCGTTTTCAAAGACTCAATTGTGATAGTTGGTCTTGGCATTCGTGGAAAAATGCTTGCTTTCGAAGTTTAGCAAAGTCGGCATGTAAAGCAAAATGTTTTTTCAGGCTAATAATGATGGTTTTAGCGGCCCTGTGGTTGCTCTGCTGTTGGTTGCTAATGTCAGAATGAAGGCATTTTGGGAAAGGGCATGTCTTGAAATCACCCATGTAATAGAATATCTGTTGTATAAGGTCTCTCCGTCTTCAGATGAATAATCTAGAGTCTAGACCAAGCGATCTATACATCAGAGGACAAAAAAGAGTTGAGGGTTCAGAAGTTAAGACTACTTGCATTGTACTCGATTTTTGCTGAAGCTTCCTGTACACATTGATTGGAAAATTATGAAAGCGCGTTAGGGAAACAGATACTAGTTTTTACTCTCTGTCTGCTCTTCAGAATGTCCACTCTTTTCTGTTCTGTGGCTTGTGTTATGTCTTGCCTCGGGAACCTGAAGTGATGTCATCTATTGCCATATCATTGAATCTGGCATATGCATATGAAAGGCCAAAATGTATGTTTCGCAGTCCTCCTGTGTTGCCATGTTTATAGTAAACTTCATGTTTCCAACAGTAGTTTGCCAGCTTAAATAAAAACCCTCAAGGTTTCTTCTCCGGGGTTAAGTGGGGATACGAGCTCCATCCTAAGAATCTTCTGTCTTTAATTTTTCAGTTGATTGTCTCCATTGTAGGCAAGGTGTTTTATGGGAAAGACTTGGCACTTAGTTAAACCTATTCTGATTATATTTCTCTGGCAGATCGTAGGCGCAGATAATCCAGTTTTAATGTCTGCTGCTGATCAAATATTTGGGGCTGGTGGGAAGAGGATGAGACCTGCTTTAGTATTCCTTGTCTCTAGAGCTACAGCAGAAATAATGGGTCTGAAGTAAGCATTTCTCGTTTTTTCTCTACAATCATTAAGTTTTCTTTTATTGAAGTCTTGGTGTAATTGTACCCTCCTTCTTACCTTCTCAGAGAACTTACGAGAGAGCACAGGCGTTTAGCAGAGATAATAGAGATGATCCATACTGCTAGCTTGATACATGATGATGTGTTAGATGACAGTGATATGCGAAGAGGTAAGTCTATTTTTTTTTTTTTTGTATAGCATCTCATGCTTTGGGTGTCGGTGCATCAGATGCAGCACCGCAACTGTAGTAGAGCAGCTGCAGCTGCAGCCTGTTTCGTTCAATAACCAGGATATATATAAACCTCCCTTTGACTTGCTGTATGAACACTAGGTCAACCAACTTTGTGAAGGTTATAAGTTGGTAACAGGAAGTCGTGAAATTGTTTCCCCAATGTGATGCTGCAATCTTTTACTTCAGCTGTCAAATTCACGAACTTATTGTCAACGTCTGCAGTGAGAGAAAGTTCCTTGTTTTTGGTTATCAATAATGGGCTGCCTGGAAGATAACATTTCATAACTTTATATCTTCACCTTCTTCCACATTTTGCTCCCTTCTTGAAAAGCGTGACTTGATATGAACTCCATATTTTTCAGGAAAGGAAACAGTTCACCAGCTTTTCGGAACAAGGGTGGCAGTACTGGCTGGAGACTTCATGTTTGCACAGTCATCATGGTATCTTGCAAATCTTGAAAATCTCGAAGTCATCAAACTCATTAGCCAGGTAAGTCCTTTTGTTACATTATAACACAGTAGTAACTTCGCCTCCACCTTGGGTAATGATTGGGTGGATGACTGGCTGATTGCCTTCTGAATTGGCAAAACTCAAACCTGGAGTATAGACATAGTAACATAAGCAATTATATCCAGTGCATTGTACATGTTTTGGCAGGTTATTAAGGATTTTGCAAGTGGTGAAATAAAGCAGGCATCGAGCTTGTTCGACTGCGACACGGAACTTGAAGAGTATCTTATCAAAAGCTACTATAAGACAGCTTCTTTAATTGCTGCCAGTACCAAAGGAGCTGCCATTTTCAGCGGGGTGGATAGCAACATTAAGGGGCAAATGTACGAGTACGGGAGGAACCTGGGCCTTTCATTCCAAGTGGTCGATGATATACTGGATTTTACACAATCAGCCGAGCAATTGGGCAAACCAGCTGGAAGCGATCTTGTGAAAGGAAACTTGACTGCGCCAGTTATTTTCGCCTTAGAAAAGGAGCCCAAACTTAGAGAAATCATCGAGTCGGAATTCTGCGAAACGGGTTCTCTCGATGAAGCGATTCTGTTGGTCAAGAGCTGTGGTGGCATTGAAAGAGCTCAACAATTAGCAAAAGAAAAGGCTGATCTCGCGGTTCAGAATCTAAGGTGTCTTCCTCAAAGCACCTTCAGGTTAGCCCTTGAGGACATGGTGATGTATAATCTAGAAAGGATAGATTAGCTGCCTACGCTGATAGGACAAGAGCGAGCGATTCTTTAGCTTATATGAAGGTTGAAGATCGAAGCCTGCCAGTGAATCCGGCATTTCGGGGGCATCAACAGGTAGACTGGTAGAGGACCCAACGAGGGAAAGATGCTGGTGGGTGGTTGTATATGTACATGCATGATAGGCATTGAGCTATGACTTTTAGCTCTTGATATTGTTCATGCATCAACAAGTAGAGGACCAAACGAGGAAAAGATGCTGGTGGGTGGTTGTATATGTACATGCATGATAGGCATTGAGCTATGACTTTTAGCTCTTAATATTGTTCATTCGATTACAATTTTCTCTTCAAAAGGGAGGATTAACATTCGAATACTGTTGTATGACAACAGAGTTTCCGACAGGATCAATAACGTAATGCTGCATTATTTTTTTTCCATGAACTCATCAGGCAAAGCAAGCTATTCACCTTTTTTTTTTTTTCTTTTCGCGGTTATTCGAGATTAGATAGAGGATTTGGAGAGGTCTAAACTTCGTCGCGAATGTTGATTCCCTTCATGCGCCGGCTTGGGATGACAGGCGACCTTCGTATCAGGAATGATCAGGTTGCAGTATGGCGATCGATGCGATCTTCGTTGTGTCTAGATCAGAACAGAGTGAGATGTCAACTTGATATGGCCAGTATCTTGGAGCGGCTGGGGTCAATCAAATTTTTCAGGATGAGTTGCTGAATTCATTGGGCTTCAGGAGATGAGTTAGGCGCTTCAAAGCCTTAAAGGCCAAGCCCAGGTTCGCTCCTCATTCCACTTCTCTGCTCACGCTCTTTCCTCCTCCTCCTCATCGTTCGGCAAATTCTCTGCTTGGGCATTACGTCGAACAGCTTGCGAACAAAGCTGAAAACTTGTCGCCCACAGATCGAAGGCATGAATCTGTTCGGTAACGCAGCTCGATGGGGAAGCATCGCCAAAGAAGCGCTCGACCGCACCGCGATCGTGGCGAAGTTCCTGTGCTTGCTCCACGTCACCAACACCTACATCTGCACTCCTACTCTCGTCCGTAAAATCCTAACCTCTCTTCTTCTTCTTCTTCTTCTTCCTTCTTCTTCGTCGTGCTTACCGAGCAGTGGAAGCTGAAAGTGTTCCCGGTGCTCGCAGGTCTACGGCCCGAGCATGCTCCCGACTCTGAACCTGACCGGCGACGTGCTATTGGCCGAGCGCGTGTCGCACCGGCTGGGGAAGGTGGGGCCCGGCGACGTGGTGCTGGTGAGGTCGCCCGTGGATCCCAGGAAGTCCCTCACCAAGCGCGTCGTCGCCATGGGTGGCGATAAGGTCACTTACGTCGTCGATCCTCGCAACAGCGACCGAGTTCGCACGATCGTGGTGCGTTACTGCAAACTCTTTCTCTTCGCATCAAGCTTTGGCCGTTCGAACTTGAAACTTGTCATCTATCTATTCGATTCATCTTAAGAGAATGCTTCCTCTGATATGGCGTCTCGGGAGGGAAGCGTGTATCGCGCGGCTTGTTGATAAGTTTTCTTGGGTGAGGAACAGCTTCTGAATCACTTGGGAGATGGTGGAAGCGCCGTTTGGGGAAAATGATCAAAATCAAAGCTTGAGTTTTGGATCCTTTTCGGACGAGATTTCAAAATCAATGTGTCTCTTGGTGCTTTTGGCTTTTAGATGTTCGTGTTAACTGATGAAAGCAACCTCTGCTTTGGTGTCTGATCTTGTGTGAATAGGTGCCGGGGGGGCATGTGTGGATTCAGGGCGACAATATCTACGCGTCGAGTGATTCGCGGCAATTTGGCCCTGTTCCTTATGGTCTCGTCGAAGGCAAAATATTATGCAGGGTGAGCAGAGCTGCGCCGATGATTTGTTTGCCACACGTTTGCATGGGTTCTCTTTGCATTTGTTGCTTTTAGTGCATTCCTACGTCTATTGGAACATCCATCATCTGCATAATACAAAAGCTGTGCTCTTCTCTTCAGGTATGGCCGCTTGATGGATTCGGATTGCTGAATCACTGACTCTAGTGCATCATGGAAAACCCATCTTCATCGTGGGAGCAAACCGGCTGAAGGCGAGGCACTGCAGAGGAAAGAGTGTATAAACTGAAGTTTGAAACAGACGCATTACAAACTCTTTAGTGAATCTGAGTTTTGCCCTTGTTACAGCGAAGATTTGGCATGATGCACTTGAATCAGGTTAGGTCTGTGTAGAAGGAATATATGCCACTAGGATCTCTTTTTCAATTTAAGTCACAAGGATCTGTCTAGTCTACAATTTAGGGAAAGCTGCCTCTGTTGGAGTCGAGTCCTACCTAAAGCCTGCCGCGACTGATTCGTCTTGCCATGCTGCAATTTGTCGCTCGAGCAGTTGTCACGGAATTTGTATGACAGGAAACATAGCTACATTCTAAGGGTAGATATATCCATTAATTTGTGACACTATCTTGGACATGGTATCCTTTTTTGGCTGACGAACACGGTCATAGTTCTTTCTGTAGAATGCCTCGAGGAAAAACGTTCCGGAAAGAATCTTAGTGCCGCTTAATATTCCATAGAGAAAATCTTTGTGTGAGCTCTTTATCCTTACTGCCTTGTTCTTGTCCTGGTGTCTACTTCACTCATAGGTTCCGTCACAAACAGCAAAAGTCTCTCCTGTCTCTGGTGATTTTGCAATTCCATTTCAAGCCATCGCTGTACTTCTCGATCTGATCCGCCATGTTCAAGGAGCGGTGACGAATATAGCGACTATATGTTTGGTTAAACATCTGTCAATGGTTTCCAAAAAATTACCATTGCAACTGAGAATGCAATCTCAGATGGAGATAAGATTTTGGTTCCCTTCATTATTACAGGTAAGAAGAGTCTGCAACCCCTCATAAAGATATCAAGTACTATCTCAAACAAACACCAATGTAGCGCAAATTTAACCCCTCCATGCTATAAAGAAAATCATATCGACTCTTCAACTGGTGCACATATCGCTGTTTAACAGGATACAACAAATGTGCGTTCACCAAGAACACCAATCCCAGTCGTAGAAATCAGAGAGAGAGGTGCACAAACTAGGGCACATAGAGTTTATCCATACAGCAGCTGGCTCAGCCTCCAACTTGGTTATCGATGCTCGACTCCTTTTGTCACCCCGAAAATTATAGCGATCGTTACAAGAATGGCCTGCACGATGAGCAAGTAACTTCAACTTCTATCTGAATCGGAGGTATACTAGAATAAAAGATTTTAACTCCTATATGACAACAAACAAGAACAACACAAACATAACCAACAAGCCATGGCAACAGGACCAATACTTAAAAAAGAGACAATGGCGAGTTTCACGTGGAGGGTGCCGAAGTGAGGAAGGCACGTCTATGATATTGCAGCCAATTTCAAAGAACCATGGAAATGAGAATGGGAGGAGATTCATATACTCACGGCAATTGTACAAGCAATGTAGCCGGGCTTCTCTCGGTAGTCCATTCTGTGTCTGCAGCAGACTACAAAACACAACCCAACGTACCAGGGGATGCCAGCCAGAAAGAAACCGATGATGAACCTTCAACACCACATTTATAGAAACTATCTCAGCAAAGAAAGAATTGCGGAAATGAGATAATGGGCGGAAGTGGGACATACATTGCAAGGAGCAAAAACGAATCTTTATCACCATCCATTGATTACCACATGAATCAACCTTTTCAGGAAAAGAAAGAACAGGCGACACAGAGCAATCGGCCTCTGTAAGTATGCTACACACTTTGCAAAACAAGCATGAAATGAAATTCAACCTATATCGCCGCGAAACCCTCGATCGATATCATCTAAGGCAAGATTGTGATTGTGGTGATGAGAAAAACTTTTCCGGGGGTATAAAGAAAAAGAAAGAAAACAGAGGAGACGAGAAAGACGTACAGGCACCAGCCGAAACCAAGGCCACAACAAGGCAGGCGCCGTTCTCTCACGGGCCTTCCTTCGGCAACTGGATAACCTGCAACATTTGATCCCGACAGAGGAAAACAAAACTAATCACGAACAACTCCGTACTTCATGACCTATAGCCAGTGATTCAAGCACGCTTGTCTAGCTCAATCAATGTAGGATCGGACGAAACGAAACCGGTAGCAGCTCAAAAATCTCCAAAAGAATCCGAAATCGGCGCCCGGTGATTCGATGAACTAACAAGCTTACCTGGAACGGCCTGATAACCCTGGGCGTGGTACGGAGGAGGAGCGGAGGGATCGTGGGAGGCGCCGGGAGGGGGGACCGGCTGAGGGAAGCCGATCGCCGCCGCATGAGGCGGCGGCGGCGGCGGAGGAGGGTAGTTGGCGACGCCCTGGAACGTGCCGTACTGGGGCGGGCGATCGCCGCCGCCGCCGCCGCCGGCGGGGGTGGCGGCGGAAATGCCTCTGCTCTGCTCTTCGTCCTTGGCCATCCTGATCGGTGGTGCGTTAAGATCGCGGGAGCTTACAGCGAAACGAGTGAGCGATCTTGATCTGGTGTTGTATAGATTGGATCTAAAACTCTATTGAGCAACAGAGAGAGAGAGAGAGAGGTGTCTGGGAAGTGCACGAGCACCCTGCAGGATAAGAAGAATTGATGATTAAGTCCAAGTCAACCTTTTCCTTTCTTTGTGTCCTTCAAACGATTTCTTCATTATAAAAAGATTAATTAGGGTATTGATTTTTCAGATTTTTTTTTCTCTACCTTATGTTTTGTACCACGAGTACGCCCCTTTTTTTTAAAAAAAAATTTTCATTTCCGAAAATTATCTCATCGAAGATAATACCATCTGCGTCGTTTAAGGAGCGGTTGCTCGGTGGTAGTTAGCTCAAGACCAAATTCTTTTTCCTCTTATCGATAAGAAGGACGGAGGTCGCAACCGGCGAAATTGTTGAAATTAACTATGCTTTTTAAAAGATGCTAGTTACTTAGCCCCCGCTTTGACCTGGTGTATGCAAATGTTGGTATTATAATAATATGAGATGTGATATAACAAAAAAAAATATGAGATTAGTATAATGGAAATATGTTGTAATCTTGTAGAAAACTATTTTATTTTTTTCTGAAGGCTTAATATTAATATGTGGTAGAAAAAAATGCTATGGTGTTAAGTTTCCTAAGCCAATAAAAATAACGAAAGCCATATTTGAAATAAGTTTGCGGAAAAATTACAAAATAAAAATAACATGAACGATTGACTATTTTATTGTAAGTTTGAGATAAGTGTCAATATTTTTGTAATTTTAAAGTAAAGGACCTTTTTTATACTAAGTGAATTTATTTAATTTAGTATAATTTTTCTACCGCGCTAAATCAAATTGCTCGAATAAATCCAGTTGCGCTAAAACAGCATATATTTTTAGTGTGGGATTTTAATGCTTTATTTTTTTCTATTTTAACTTTTTCAATAACTAATTTGATTCCAACATATCAAAATTAAGTGAAATTTGTTCTTGGGAAAAAAACAATCTATACATAAAATCATAATATAGTAATTTTTAAACCAAATGAATTTTTTTAATTAAGTGGGATCGATGTAAGGAACTAGCCTTTTTTTTATAAATCCTACAGTCAATACCTGAAAATGACTGACTTTTGCTCTCTCTTTTTCTAATCAAAAGTGCTAAATATTAAGTGTTAGATAACTTGAGTTGTTACAAGTAAAAATAAAAGGTTAGTTTGATCAGATGGAAACTATATCCTAAACGTCATCGATTTCAACTTTTTAATGCTGTTTAGATCAGAATTCAGCTACCCACGTTCTATGGACCCACCCCACTCGGACCAAATTTAATGACTCGGAGACAAAACTGATGGTGGATTCAATAAGATACAGATACATGTCTCTTTCGGGCTATGTGTCATTCTAATAATATCAACCTTTCGATATATCAAAGGTCTCTTTTTTATCCGCTAAAAAAATTTAGGTTATAAATGATAATCATTATGTTTCAAAAATCAATTTCTGGTAAAAATTTATTTGATAACGAGTTTCTGAGCAAAAAAATACGTTTGATAACGATACAAAATTTCTATTTTTGAAACAAAATTTTATTTGATAACTACACAAAATTTCTCCCTCTTGTGTGGCCGGCAAGTGGACGGCGGGAGGATGGCGGCAACAGACGGCGGACGGCGGACGGTGGTAGCAAACGGCGAGCGACAGCGGGAGGCGGCGGCAGACGGCGACACAGCTAGTGTGGAGGACGGCAGCCGGAGGCGGCCAGCGACAGGAGGAGGGCGACCGGCGGCGGGAGACAGTGGCTAGCTGGCGGCGGCCAGTGAGGGGAGGCAAGCGGCGGCGGGAGGAGGGCGGCCGAAGACAGGAGCGGTGGCCAGTGGACAGCAAACGGCGGCCCACAGCAGCCGGCGGCGGGAGGTGGGCGGCGATGAGAGGAGGCGGGCGGCAGCTGGAGGAGGGCGGCCAGCAGCCGAAGACAATGGCCGACAGTGGGAGGCAGGCGGCGACGGGGGGAGGGCGGCCGACGGCGAGAGACGGTGGCCAGCGGTGGGAGGCGGGCAGCGGCGGGAGGAAAGCGGCTAACAGTGGGAGACAATGGCCGGTGAACAGCGGGCGACAGGCAGCGGCCCACGACGGCTAGCGACGAGAGACGGCGAATGGCAGGAAGCAACGGCCAGCAAGTGGGCGGCAATGGGCGGCGGATGGGCGACCGGCTAGTAGCAAGAGCGAGCGATGAGAAGAATTTTAACTTCTCATTTATGTTCCAGAAATAGAAAATTAGAAAAGTTTAACTTCTCATTTCTGTTCAAAACCTATTTCTGGAACAAAAATTTATTCTAGAAATAGAAAATAAAATTGCGTTACCAAACGGATTTCTATTCCAAACCTATTTCTGGAACAGAAATAAAGAAACAGAATAATTATCATTTGCAGCCTTAATAAGTCGGTTTGTCAAGAAGATCCAATTGTTGAATCAGGCTAATTCCACATAGAAAGAGATGAAGTAAGATCGTTAACTAAGGATGCGAATGGTAACCATTCTGCTCCAGAAATCAAATTCTTGCCAGAAATTGATTTCTGGAGGAGAAATCTGTTTGAGAAATCAAATTCTGCTCCAGAAATTGATTTCTGGAACAGAAATCTGTTTTGATTTGTTAATTTTTTTTGCACCTAAAAAAATTTAAATTTTACTCAAAGTGGGTGGCCACAGGTATTATAAGCCATTCTGTAAAGTTTTGAAATTTTTGATTTTTTAAAATTTTTTTGGGCACCTAAAAAAATTTAAATTTCACTCAAATTGGGTGGCCACAGGTATTCTAAGCCATTTTGTGAAGTTTTGAATTTTTTATTTTTTATTTTTTATTTTTTTTATTTTTTTGGGCACCTCAAAAAATTTAAATTTCACTCAAAGTGGGTGGCCACAGGTATTCTAAGCCATTCTGTGAAGTTTTGAAATTTTTTATTATTTTTTGGGCACCTCAAAAAATTTAAATTTCACTCAAAGTGGGTGGCCACACGTATTTTAAGCCATTTTGTGAAGTTTTGAAAAATTTTATTTTATTATTATTTTTATTTTTTTGGACACCTCAAAAAATTTAAATTTCACTCAAAGTGGGTGGCCACGGGTATTTTAAGCTATTCTGTGAAGTTTTGAAATTTTTGATTTTATTTTATTTTAAAAAAAAAAATTCACCAAATTTCATATTTTCCAGAAATCTGACTTTTTTTTTATTTTCCGGAAATTTTTATGATTTTTTCTAGAATTTTTCAATTTTTATGCATTTTCTGAAAAAAAAAATTATGAAAAAATAAGGAGAATGCATTTCGGAATCAAGAAGCTATAAAAAGTAGCTTCTCTTTTTCTTGCCAAAAACTCATTCTGGAATCAAAAATGCATTCCGGAATCAAGAATGCATTCTGGAATCAAGTATTTTTAACAAACGCATTTTTATTCCAAAATGCAAAAATTGTTCCAGAATGCATTCCAGAAATTTTTTAACAAACGCCATTCTGTTCCAAAATACATTCCGGAACAGAATTTTTATTCCGGAATGCATTCCATGCGCACCCTAAAGATCGCGAGAAAATTAGTGACGGAGATCGATGACCGAGAAAGCCGTGTACAAATGCTTCCACGTAAATGCATTAGTAGGCGAGCATAAAAGGCCAAAAGAAAATGATGTGAAAATACTGGGATCGTCTCGCCGGTTCTCATTGCAGCAATAACGCAACATACACTACAAAAGTAGCGACTCAATAAAGGCTGCATTGTGAGTAGACCTGTTAAACGGGTGGGTCGGGTCGGGTTTGGATCGGGTCATAAATGGTTCGACCCAAATTGACCCATTAACCCGTTTATGATCAATTTATTCATAGTATAAATATCTCGACCCATACCCGACCCAACCCGACCCATATTGCTAAAACACTTTTATATTTAACCTAATCTAGGAATACTTGTTTCTTATGATTTTTTTTTTAAATTATACTGCTAAAACATTTTATGCAATACAAAGCTAGTGAAAAAATTTTATAATTTTTTTTAAAATTGAGGTTCTGTTTGTTTTACGAAAAATGCGACATTTCTAAAAAATATTTTCCATAAAGTCATTATCCAAGAAAATAAAAAAAATTAATATTTTTTTTATTTTTTAAATCGAATTTTAAATTATTTTTTATTTTTATTTTTATTTTTTTCTTTTTCCTTTATTTTTGGCCGATCGCCGGCCGCCGTGGCCGGCGACCGACCACAGGCGAGGACGAGCTCGCCGGAGGCCGGCAAAGCTCGTTCTCGCCGATCTGGCAAGGCCGAGGCCTCGCCGGCCTTAGGCGAGGCTCCAGCCTCGCCGATCTGGCGAGACTCGAGCTCGCCGCCCGAGGCTGGCGAGCTCGAGCTTCGCCGGCCTCGGGCGAGGCTCCACCTCGCCAGATCCGGCGAGGTCGAGCTCGCCTGAGGCCGGCGAGCTCAAGTCTCGCCAGATCGGCGAGGCTGGAGCCTCGCCACACGTCGGCAAGGCTGGAGCCTCGAGGTCGCCGGAATCGGGCGAGCTCGAGGCTCGCTAGATCGGCGAGGCTCGAGCCTCGCCTGAGGCCGGCGAGCTCGAGCTTCGCCGGCCTCCGGCGAGGTCGTCTCCCCCCGGTGGCCGGTCGCCGTGGCCGACCACCGGCCGGAATAAAAAAAAAGAAAAAGAAAGAAGAGAAAAGAAAAAAGAAAAAGAGAAAAAAAAATTAAATTTCGATTTTTTTTAAACATTTTTGTAAAGAGGGAGAGAGTGTGTGGATGGGTCTAGTAGGTGGGTTGGACATGGGTTCTAAACTCAACCCATTTAGACCCATTTATATTTAAGTTTTAAAATTTAAAATCCATTTAAGGTTGACTCTTTAAAATTAAAGTGACCCATATATGACCCATTTATTTTTAAATGGGCCATATATGGGTTTAAGACCCATTTTGACACCTCTAATTGTGAGGTCTCCGATGACTCAGTACCATGTCGAGTTTCGTAAAAGCTTGGGTTAATAGGTAAATGGCGACTTAGTTAAGCACCGGAATAACCTCCGAAAAGGTTTCTATGTTGGACAAGGTAAGAACTCCAGAGAAACAGTTTGGTACATCGGATCAACATTTAACAGG